CCCGAAATCTGGAAAACTAAGGTGTCATTTCCGCTATATGATTTCTTTATTAAATCACTTGAGAATCGAGCACTTTGGGGCCGATCCTGGGGTACCCCTCATTTGGGCCTTGTTTGGGGGCCTTCCTGGCAGGCGCTTCCCCGTAAGGGGCCTTCCCCGTAGGGGGCCTTCCCCGTAAGGGGCCTTCCCCTTACGGGGAAGGTGGCCTTTTTGGGCTCCTCCCGGACCATTTCTGGGCCTTTTTTGGGCTAGGAAGCCTCCTTCGGCCAGGCCTCCCAAACTTCATGAGGTCCCAGGACAGTCGCAGGACCAAAAACCAAAGGGAGCCCAAGGCATAGACTTATGGGTCTTGTAAGCCCGGTATAAACATCATAATTTGGAAACACCGGGAAAAAAAACAAACCTATGGATCTTGGGGGGACAGAGAGGCCTTCGCGGGGGGTACCCCAGGATTTGGTCAAAGGCGGCCCGTAGCCCCCCCTCCCACTACTGTACTTACACACGATATTATAAAACCCTAAACCCGCCCAAGGTTGAGATGTGGGTGGGTGGGTTGGGAGAGCTCGTTGGACCTAGGCGCACACCACAACACACGCCCTGCGTGGTGGTGTGCGCGGAACGTTGGCAAACCCTAAACCCTAAACCCTAAACCCTAAACCCTAAACCCTAAACCCTAAACCCTAAACCCTAAACCCTAAACCCTAAACCCTAAACCCTAAACCCTAAACCCTAAACCCTAAACCCTAAACCCTAAACCCTAAACCTTAAACCTAAACCCTAAACCCTAAACCCTAAACCCTAAACCCTAAACCCTAAACCCTAAACCCTAAACCCTAAACCCTAAACCCTAAACCCTAAACCCTAAACCCTAAACCCTAAACCCTAAGCCCTAAACCCTAAAACCAAGTGCTTCTGCCAGGCTTAGATTCTACACCAAGTTTGAGTTCAAGGCCAGGCCGCCGCAAAAGCCTAAAGCCCTAACGCCCTGAAGGGTTTAGGGTCTAGGCTCCCAAAGACATCGCAAGGCCCCAAAAGCCCTGAAATCCCCCCAAAAGTGGGTTTTGGGTTGAGGGGAAAGACCCGAACGCCCTAAGTTCAGAGGGCTCCCCCCCCAAGAGCCGAGCAGCCTGCGTCGTCAGCTCTTGCTTCGCAGGTGACGGAGAAGATTCAGGACATCCGGCAGGGGCTTTCACCCCCAAGCTTCTCTAACCCCTAAAAACCTTGTATAGTCCCTATATACTTAAGCAGACCCCAAAGAACCCATAACTACCCCCTAAGGTTCCTTATAAGGGAAGATGGTGGACCCTAAGCCCTTGGGTTTCGGTTTTTATTTTCATGGTGTTAGGGCTTGGGTCCATACTGGCTGTCTTTGAGGTTTTTTACATGTCTAGCACTTGGGATGTTTCCCCCCTATGATAATCTCATTAAGGACTGCTCGTAGAAGAGGGAACATCCTAATGTCTACACTCTCTACGTCGACGTCCTTGCAGGGGTTTTTAGGGTGTTGCGGCTTCAGTCCGAGGTAGTATTAGGGAGACCCTTCTTCAACCTACTTCTGGGCCTCTTAACAGGGACCTTATTGAGAGGGTCTATATCCCCAAGGGTCCCCTTAATCTTAACTCCTATTCAGGACTACTACCAGAACATCGACCCTCCTGACTGCTATGTGGCAGCCCTGGAGATTCAAAGGGACCCAGATTTATGCCCTAAACCCTAAACCCCAAACCCCAAACCCCAAACCCCAAACCCTAAACCCTAAACCCTAAACCCTAAACCCTAAACGCTAAACCCTAAACCCTAAACCCTCAACCCTAAACCCTAAACCCTAAACCCTAAACCCTGGAACGCTAGATTGAAGGGCTTGTTGAGAGTGTCAGGGTGGGAGGTTCCGGTCTCAAGGGCTCAAGGTTCATTAAGGGTTTGAGGGCTTCAGGGCTTCAGGGCTTAAGGGCTTAGGGCTTACGGGCTTAGGGAGTTCGAGGTGAGGTTGTTCAGGGCGTCTTCAGGTCTAGTTTTGGGCTTGGGTTGAGCTACAACACCAAATAAAACAGCCTGAAGCCCTCAGCCCCAAGCCCAAATAGGCACTGTAATCCTGAAGGCCGCAAACCCAAAAATTAAGGGGATGCAGCTCAAAGCATCAACCCTAAACCACAAGGCCCTAAACCCCCAGCGCAAGAACCTCCCCTCACCGCAGTTGTGGGGGGGGGGGGGGCTTTTTGCGTCTACCTCGGAAATGAAGGTTTAGGGGACGCTCTCAGGGCTACGCCCTTAAACCCCAGGATTAGGGAATAAAGGTTCTGCCATCTGACGCATGCCCAAAGAGCCCAATACCCCTTAATCAAGGAAGAAGTACCTTAGATCATATTAAAGGATCCCTGTTTAAAGTAAGGTCTATTCCTTAATTAAGGAATTGAATATACCCTAAATCACACCAAGGACCCTAAACCCTAAACCCTAAACCCTAAACCCTAAACCCTAAACCCTAAGCCCTAAGCCCTAAACCCTAAACCCTAAACCCTAAACCCTAAACCCTAAACCCTAAACCCTAAACCCTGACCCTAAACCCTAAACCCTAAACCCCTGAATTAAGGGGTATTGGGCTGTCGGGGTGCTTCCGAAAGGTGCTGAGGCGGCCAGTGAACGGCCACGAGCTAGGACAGGAGGCTTGCCAGGGTGTGTTCATGGACCCAGAGTAGGCACTTATTCTATTTTTGTTTCAGGGTTTAGGGTTTAAGGTTTAGGGTTTAGGGTCTGTCTAGGACCCAGGGTAGGCCCTTATTCCCTTTTTGTTCCCTTATCAGCCCCTTTAAACCTAACCCTTTTCATTCCTGGGTTACTCCTGGGTCTAGGTGTTCATGGCCCTAAAGTAGCTTGGGAGCCTCCTCATCCCATGTCGACCTTTCATTCTTAGGTGGTGAGGGGAGGTAGGTTGGTGGCAGTTGAGACAGGTGGGCTCACGAAATTGCGGAAGGCAATATGCAACCACCCCGTCGGTGCATCCATCAGTGGCGGCCTTCACCCAGACAAGACATGACATCTGAGCCAGGTCTTGAAGCCTACAAACCCAAAACCCCAAACCCAAAACCCTAAGCCCTAAACCCAAAACCCAAAGCCCTAAACCCTAAACCTTGCCTGTGCCAGGTCTTGGACGTCGCGTTGTAGGGCTTCTTGCGCCGGCAGCGCCAGAAGCGCGGAGGGCAAGCACTTTTGGAAAATGGGCCGTCCCCGCGAGGGATTTGGTGGTACCAAGTGCGTGTCTCTCACGGTGGGGCTGGTTGCTGTCACCAAGTCAGCTTGCGCTCCAGGCTGTGGTGGAGGTTCATGGTACTTTTAAAGCCATTCTTTGCTGATTCTTTTTGTTTATAAGTACCGGAATTATTGGGTTAACAAGTACCATGAACCTGCAAGTGGGCATGCCTTGTGGCCCGCGTCGCTGCCGCTCGAAAGTCTCGGACCTTCTTGCAAGCCGACCAAACCCCGCAGGGCGCAGTGTTTAGAGTCAGCTCTTGCAGCTCTTGTTGATGCCGTTCCCAGGCGCTTTTCTGACCTTAGGAGCAAGCTAAAGGAGTGCGACTCAACAATCCTCAGAAGCCATGGCAACACCTTGGTTGACCTGCAGCATCAGATCATGCTGAGCAGGTTCTTTGAGGACCCCCGGACACCCACAATCGAGCTTCCCTAAACCCTAAACCCTAAACCCTAAACCCTAAACCCTAAACCCTAAACCCTAAACCCTAAACCCTAAACCCTTGTGCCTGGAGTAGCCCTGCAACTGGAAAGAGAGTCCTTGTAAAGGCATGCCGCTGACTCTATCGTAGGGGTGTCTCGGGGTTCGGGGGCATCAAGACAGGCCCATAACCCTAAACCCTAAACCCTAAGCCCTAAACCCTAAACCCTAAACCCTAAACCCTAAACCCTAAACCCTAAACCCTAAACATGTCTGCCCTTTCAGCTGCTCTGTAGGATGTGGGTCGTCTTCAACTCCAGATCCACCAGCTGGAACTTAATAGAGCGCGTGATCTTTCCTGCGCCCACTCCGTCGCACCTTGGCCGCACCGCAGCCTCAACTTGGGGAAACTTGGGAGTTTTTTTTTTATTTTTAAAAATACATTTTTCATAATCTTTTTTCATTTTGAAATTTAACTTTTGGGTACCACAGTTCCTAAGAAACAGCAAAGATCATGATTTTTGCTAGGGTTCCAAGTTTAGTATAGTCAAGAGCATTGCAGAGTTTGACCATGCCGCCAGGGCCTACACCTCTGTTTCTCCCAAATATGGGGAGGTTTACGACCAAGAGGGGACCCTGAGCCGGAAACAGAGTTTATATCACTGTTATTCGTGAGTGTATTTAGGGTGCCTTCTAAATATTGGTGAGTGTACGGGTTGGGCGCCCCTTTGGGATTACAAGGAATGTAAACCCTACATCATGTAGACAAACCCTAAACCCTAAACCCTAAACCCTAAACCCCAAACCCTAAACCCTAAACCCTAAACCCTAACCCCTAAGCCCTAAACGCTAAACCCTAAACCCTAAACCCTAAACCCCAAACCCTAAACCCTAAACCCTAAACCCTAAACCCTAAACCCTAAACCCTAAACCCTAAACCCTAAACCCTAAACCCCCTCTGAGGTACACAATCAACAGCTTTCCGGGCGAACTGATTCTCATTCCACGCTCGGATGGGGCCAAGGCTCCCGCCTCCCGAAGCCGAGCTTTGGGGCTTCCAGGGTGCCCGCTACTCCTAAACCCTAAACCCTAAACCCTAAACCCTAAACCCTAAACCCTGAACCCTGAACCCTGAACCCTGAACCCTGAACCCTGAACCCTGAACCCTGAACCCTAAACCTACTTTACCCACTTCTCAGTGCTTAAGGTGGGCCTTCTGTGTGTCGTGCCTACAGACCCTTTAAGGGAGTATACAGGGTACCCACTTCCCGAACTCTCTACTTTAGTTAAGCTGAGTTGCGACAGGTGCCTTGCCTGTTCCTTCCGTTTCAGCATGCGCGGCGGAGTTCTCAGAGACGTCTCGCTCGCTGTTCCGGTTTTATTTTGGCTCCAAGCCCGATCTACTCTACAAGCTCTAGAAACTCCAAGCCCTAAACGCCACCCCCAAACAACCTAAGAGCCCAAACGCCTGAAAGCCTGAAACGAAAGCCCTAAGAGACAATAAGAAGCCCTAAGAACCCCAAACAAAAACCCAAAAATGCCTAAGAAGCCGTAAGCAACCCGAACCCTCAGGTTCCTCTTCAAAACACACGAACCTTCAGGTTCCTGTTCATATACTTTCATGCTAACGCAGAGGACCGGGGGAGCGGGGGGGAGGGGGAGGGGTTTAGGGTTTAGGGTTTAGGGTTTAGGGTTTAGCGTTAGGGTTTAGGGTTTAGGGTTTAATTAGGGTTTAGGGTTTGGGGGGGAAGGGATCTGGTCCCACAGCCGCTCGGAAGGATGTCGTTAAACGCTTTCACTTTGACCCTTTCGCCCTCTCAACCCCAAAGTTCTATAACCCTATAGGGTTAGGGTTCAGGGTTTCGGGTTTAGGGTTTAGGGTTATAACCCTAAACCCTAAACCCTAAACCCTAAATCCTTGTGCGAGGACCTTGGGCTAAGCTACACCTTCTGCAAGATCTTGAGAGACCTCTTCCAAGTCCACGTCCTGGCCGTGGAGTCAGCTCCCCCCTGTGATTTTAGGGTTTAGGGTTCAGGGTTTAGGGTTACCCGGACCCCTGGAAGGATCCAAAAAGCAGAAGACCCCCAAATAGTATACTACTTTTGAGCAATTCTTTAAGAACCTTTAAGAAGGATCTACAAATTGTACCCTATGTTACTATTCGGTCATTCTTAAGAACCTGATAAGGGGATCTACTTTTTGGATCCTCCCAGCTTGCCCCTAAGGTTGCACCCCTAAAGGTTCCCCTGAATATAGTCCTAATGTGGCCCCTATATTCCCTGAGAGGGATCCTTAGAAAGGGGCCCCAAAACCCAAGGGTACAACCTTACGGCTCCAAGGTAGAACCCCTAGACTCCGGCAGCCAGGTATCCTGGATATGGAGTTTGTCCTGGCGCCTGTGATGAGGCCGAGCTCGCTCTCGAACTGAAGCCTCAGGGTTTGGTTTAGGGTTTAGGGTTTCGGGTTTAGGGTTTAGGGTTTAGGGTTTAGGGTTTAGGGTTTAGGGTTTAGGGTTTAGGGTTTAGGGTTTAGGGTTTCGGGCTTAGGGTTTGAAAAGCCCGCGCATCTATTTGCGTTGACGTTCTGCTTTGACCGCTGGCAGGCGGGTGTCATGGCAAACGCCTCCGCAGCCATGGAGCAGCTTGTTCGCGATTTGAGAAGTCTGGTAATATAGGGTCGGAATAATTACAAATAGTATTTCCTTATGGTCCTTTTATATGTATACTTCTACCATAATACCCCCCCCCCCCAAAGAAAAAAAAACCTATTCTAATTATTAAGGCCCTTCTGGTTCGCGATTTGAGAAGTCTGGCATGCGGGTTGCAGGGCTTGTAGGGACTCTATACTATACTAGACAATGCTCTGTTGTGCTGTGCTATGCTACGCTTTTCTTTAGTATTCTACACTCACTATGCTGTACCATCCTATACTAGACTAGACCTTAGACGATACTATACTATCCACGATCCACATGGAGTGGGCTCAGGTTTGTCATTCAGACGCTGAAGTGGCCCAGGGATGGCTGGAAGCTGAGCTTTCTTTTGCTGGGGCACGGCTGCACCGACTGCCGCAGAGCATTTTGATCCAGCTGCAATGAAACGACAGCAGTATAACATTCGGGTGCAGAGTTGCGGGGACAGTCAGGCCACATTTTGTGACATGAGCTTGTAGCCTTACAGAGCCTGAGCCCGAGCCCGGTCCCCCAACTTTCAGAGGCGCAGCATGAGCGATGGGAGCACCCCTGAGCCGGGCTGGCTGAGCTGCTTCAAGGGCAAGGCCCCACCTTCAGAGGTGGCCCGGGCCTGGCTCCACAGCCTGAGCCCGCGGAGCCGGGAAGAGGCGAAGGCGGACGCCCCCAGCGCCCGCGCCCGGCTGCGCCAGGCGCTCACGGCGTCTGGATGCGCGGAGGTGAAGGAGGACGCCGCCAAGGGCTATGTCTACACCGGCGCGGTGCTGCGGGCGGCCGACGAGGTCTTAGGCATAAGGCCGCCGAAGGCACAGGGCAACCTGCGAGGTGCGGCCTCCGGCGACGGGGCGCCCGTGGGCTCGCGCTGCGTGCTCAGCGCCGGCCCTGGCAAGCTGGGCCTCTGGTGGAGTGACTTTCAGACCGCCTGCCGCCCCTACGAGCTGCTCGAGCGCGGGATCACCCACAGGCTGAACATGGCGGCGGAAGTGGTCAAGAAGTTTCCGGCCGACATCGAGGGGCTGGAGACCCTGCACGTTCCCATGCGCGACGCCTTCAGCAACGAGCATGAGGTAAACGAGGGCAGCGTAGACGAGTGGGCGCAACAGCTGGGGGAGACCCTCGAGGTCCTCCAGCGGCTCCGCGACGCGGGGGCCAGCGTCAACGTGAGCTGCCAGATGGGTAAGAACCGGAGCGCTGCGGCGGTGCTGGTGTGGATGTGTAGCTAGGTTGGCCCTTGGGACATTTTAAGTGTTTCCCTTATTGGGTTTAAGAGGATTTCAATGTTTCCCTCATTGGGTGTAAGAGGATCACATTCAGGAATATATTCTTCAGAGGGCTTTAAGGCTTTAAGGGCCATCCTAGGTAGTGAGTGCGGCTGGAAGCTGGAGGATGCCGTGGAGCACCTGCGGGGCATCACCGCGCTGGCCTGCGGGAATCCCTACCTCATCGAAGCCGTGGCGAAGTTTCTGAAGGTCGACGCGAACGTGCCGCTGAATCCGGCCGGGGACGATGGCCGGTGTCCCAGAGTTACACCAAAGGATCCTTCCCCCCTTTCATGCACACGTACAAATCATATAAGGGTCCAAAGTGCACTCTTCTGTTTGCTCAAGCTGAGGATCCCGTCTATACATAATCACGGCGCCCCTAAACCCTAATCCCTAAACCCTAAACCCGAAACCCTAAGCCCTAAACCCTAAACCCTAAGCCCTCAAAAGAGGCCACCTTTTTACCCCAAAACCAGGCCACTGGATCTGCATTTCTCCTCCGGGCACACCCGTGGCTGGGGCAGCTCCGAAGGTTGGGTTCCTAAACCCTAAACCCTAAACCCAAAACCCAAAACCCAAAACCCTAAACCCTAAACCCTAAACCCTAAACCCTAAACCCTAAACCTAAACCCTCAGCCCTAAACCCTAAACCCCAAACCCTAAACCCCAAACCCCAAACCCCAAACCCTAAACCCTAAACCCTAAACCCCAAACCCTAAACCCTAAAGCCCTAAACCCCAAAGCCCTAGAACCCTAAACCCCAAACCCTAAACCCTAAACCCCAAACCCTAAACCCTAAACCCTAAACCCTAAACCCTAAACCCCAAACCCTAAACCCCAAACCCCAAACCCCAAACCCTAAACCCTAAACCCCAAGAAGGTGGACCTGGCCATGGCGGCCGCCGAGGCCGAGGCGCAACTGCGCCATGCGGAGCCCGAGGAGCTGCTGACACACAGGGGGCTTTAGGGGGTTTGGGGTTTAGGGTTTAGGGTTTAGGGTTTAGGGTTGTTTGGGGTTTGGGGTTTAGGGTTTGGGGTTTGAGGTTTAGGGTTCAGGGGTTTGGGATATAGAATTTAGAATTCGAACTTGAAGTTTAGGGTTTGGGGGTTCTAGGAGGTGTGGGGTTCTAGGGCTTTGGGGTTTAGGGTTTCGGGTTTCGGATGTTAGGGTTTTTAGGGGGCGTGGGTTTTTTCGGGGTTTTTCGGGGTTTGGGGTTTAGGGTTTTTGGGGTTTGGGGTGTGGGGGTTTAGGGTTTGGGTGTTTTGGGGTTGGGGATTGAGGATTGACTCGGGGTCTTGCAGAGTAGCTTGAGTCGTAAGAGTGTTTCGGCGTCGAGGGGCTGTTGGGGTCTGCCATGCACTCGCTTGCATCGTCTAGCGTCACTGTTGCCCATGAGATATGCGGGTAGTTCTCTACATTAGGAACACCCCAAACCCTACACCCTAAACCCTAAACCCTAAACCCTAAACCCTAAACCCTAAACCCTAAACCCTAAACCCTAAACCCTAAGCCCTAAACCCTAAACCCTAAACCCTAAACCCTAAACCCAGAAGGAGGAGGAGGAAGATGCAGCGGCTGCAGAGATGGCGGAGCTCTTTGCCGGCTTCTGAGCCTGCGCCGATGTCCGGTCTCCAGCCTCTTGGGAGGATGTCCCTCTGCCTAGAGACTCCAATACCCATAACATGGTAGGGTTTAGGGTTTAGGGTTTAGGGTTTAGGGTTTGGGGTTTAGAGTTTAGGGTTTAGGGCTAGGGTTTAGGGTTTAGGGTTCAGGGTTCAGGGTTCAGGGTTTAGAGTTGCTATTCCCTGAGTTCCAGTAGGGATCTTAGTACGATTCCGGGAGTCTTCCTTAGCAATTGGAGTTCCTGGGTTTGGTCAACCAGACGTGAGCTGCCCTGGTCGGCTCCGGAGGAGCCATATCATGGCTTGCGGCCACAGTGTACAGCTGGCTCCCAAAGACCGCGCCGTGGCCACCACCCTGATCTGCGTGGGAAGGGAGGGTTTGGGGTGAAGGGTAGGGTTCCGGGTTCAGGGGCTTAGGGTTCATATCGTCTTAGAGGGTTGGGGGAGAGAGCGCGGATCTCTGCATGCGAGCCTTGTGTCCTTAGCCCTGGACCCTCGACCCTGTCAAGCACCCAAGGCATTAAGCTCTTCGGCCGTTCCTTGGGCACTGGCCCCACCATGGCTTTGGCAGCCAAGCCTGCGGCCCAGAAAGCTTACATGAGCCCGCATGACCCCCAAACCCTGCAAGCCCAGAGACTCCAAAACCCCTTAATTAGGGACTATCCCAAAAAGCCAAAAAAGAACCCTAGTATGATTTAAGGTATATTCCTTAATTAAGGGGTTTTGGAGTCTCTGGGAGGCTCCCCCCCCCCCTCTCCCAAGCCGTAAGCCCCAATCGCCCAAACAAGGTGGGTACCTGTGTCCCAAACAACGGGGCGCCCGGGCAGGATTTTCGTTTCATGGGGTTTTCTCTAGGGTTTGCATAGGCTAGCTATTCTTGAGGTTGCAATCGCACTTATTTACGCCCCCCCTGGCTGGCCTAGCACAAGTTACCCCAACTACAACTGTCCTTTCATTCTCTGCTTGTAATCCCGTATATAGCTTTCAACCCGAACCCCTAAGCCGTACATGTACATACGGAAGCCTGTTGTGGTCGGTTGTTTCCCCATGGCGGAACGCAAAGGCTGAATTCGCACCCTAAACCCTAAACCCTAAACCCTAAACCCTAAACCCTAAACCCTGAACCCTAAAACGCGGTAGGTCCTATAAACCCTACCAGCTGCAGGCATGAGGTTGCTGGGGTCATCCTCATCAGCCCCTTCACCAGCATCAAGGATCTCTTTCAGGGACAGGCCGGGGTCACGGGGCTCGGGGTGTCTTGGGGTTTAGGGTTTAGGGGCTAGGGCTTAGGGGTTCAACATTGCCCAATTTCCCCAAATGCTAAACCCTAAACCAACCCTAAACCCTTAAACCCCTAAACCTGAAACCCTAAACCCCTAAACCCACCTGGCCTTTGACTTTCCCCATTCTTCCCCCCCCCCCCCCCCCCCCCCGGCACGACAGGGAATATTTCGGCACCCTGGGTTCCTCCAAAAAAGAACCAAGCACCCTACCAAAGCCAAACCCTAAGCTCTAAACCCTAAACCCTAAACCCTAAACCCTAAACCCTAAACCCTAAACTCCAAACCCTAAACCCTAAACCCTAAACCCTAAACCCTAAACCCTAAACCCTAAACCCTAAACCCTAAACCCTAAACCCTAAACCCTAAACCCTAAACCCTAAACCCTAAACCCTGAACCTGAGAGGTGGGCTTCCTTGCGGACATGGTCGAGGACCGCTTCTGCAACATCGACCTTGCGCCCAGGCCTGTAGGGGGCGTGGGGGTGGGGTTTAGGGTTTAGGGTTTAGGGTTTAGGGTTTAGGGTTTAGGGTGTAGGGCTTAGGGCTTAGGGCTCTAGGGCTTTAGGGTTTAGGGTTTAGGGTGCAGCACCGGTCAGCAGAACGCACTAGTGTGAAGACATGCCCACCCCAAGGCCGCCCAACCACAACTCACTGCGAAACCAAGCTGGAGCCAGCCCAAACCAAGCCAGCCCTTCAACATTCGCACGTCGAACATATTCAGAGGACGCTGAGGTCAGAATACTCAGCCATTAGACTACCTAATTAGAACACTGAGTTACTAGAATACTCAGTTCTTAGAATACTTAGTAGTTATCAGAATACTTAGTCGGCAGAATACTTAGTTATTAGAATACTTCGCTGGAATGCTTGGGCAAGGTTTATAGGGCATTAGGAAGCCCCAACAGGCAAGCCCAAGCCTTCCGTGCTTGGACTTCTGGGTCTTGCGAAGGGGACGGCCTGGGCCGTAGGGTTTAGGGTTTAGGGTTTAGGGTTTAGGGTTTAGGGTAGAAAATTCAGGCATGAAGGTTTACAGATTTAAGGCGGGGGTCTTTCCAGGGTCTTTCCAGACTGGGAGGCCGCGCTCAAACGGCCGTTTAGACAACACGGAGCCTTCCAGGGCCTGCACTTCAGTGGGACCTTCCAAGGGGAGCTTTCCAGAAACTTGCCAAAACCTCCCACTACACCTAAGCCCTAAGCCCTAAGCCCTAAGCCCTAAACCCTAAACCTTAAACCCCTAAGCCCTAAACCCAAAACCCAAAACCCTGGGTCTACGACCTCTGAGCCCAGAAAGGGGCTTTTGCACGCCCAAAGCTCCTACAAAAGCCTCGCCGGGGCCGCCCAGGGGCCTCCTTTTCACACCAAAAGCTGGCTCTTAAAAACTATGCCGACACCTGCAGGCCCAATTCGGGTTTAGGGTGCATGGTTAAACAACCCCGAACTTTCGCACCAAAAGCCGACTCTCAACAGTTATTTTCTCCCAACATGAAAGAACACGAAGCCCACCCCCGGCAAGATAACCCGGCCGTGATAAACACTAAACCCCTAAACCCCTAAACCCCTAAACCCCTAAACCCCTAAACCCCTAAACCCTCAAACCCCTAAACCCTCAAACCCCTAAACCCCTAAACCCCTAAACCCCTAAACCCCTAAACCCCTAAACCCCTAAAACCCCTAAACCCTTAGACCCCTAAACCCTCAACCCCTAAACCCCTAAACCCTCAACCGGAAAACCCTGAAGCGAGTGCCCCAGAGCTGCCAGGATCTCCAGCCCCACTCTGATCATCCATGGGATGCAGGTGCTGGGCCCTGCGTGTTTGGGGGTTTAGGGTTTAGGATTTAGGGTTTAGGGTTTACGGTTTAGGGTTTACGGTTTGGTTGTTTAGGGTTCAGGGTGCAGGTTTTTGGGGGTTTAGGGTTTCGGGTTTGGCGGCCTGCGTAGTGTAGGGCTTGCAGGGCTTATTATTAGGGCTTGTCGAGCTTGTATAGATGGGGTTTCTGTATTATGCAGTGTTTAGGGCTTATCGGGTTCCTAGTTCAGTATGTATACATCTTGTTTTTTATATATTATATATGTTTTCTAGATTATATATGTGTGTATGTATATGTATATATGTATATGTATATATATATATATATGCAATATACATGTCGAGTCACAGGCTAGCATATGGGGCGTATATGAGGCCTGCGTTATGGTTCATAGGTTTCAGGGTGTGGGGCCACTCTCCAAGGACGGAGTTTTTTGGGCTGGTCCCTAACCTTCTTTAACGGGTTCTGATGTCTGGGCCCTTGGGCTGCATAGGGTATATAAGGGGACCCCTTTTAAGGACGCAGACTAAGGGACCAGGAAACTACCGTAAGAACCCTAAACCCCAAACCCTGAGCCCTAAACCCTAAACCCTACACCCTAAACCCTAAGGGCCTTCTCTGCCGGTCAGGACGCCCTGGTCCCTCCCGAGCACGGTCGCAAGGTTTATGGCGCCATCACATCTAGGCGCATGCTTGCGGGGGCCTGAGCCACCTAAAGCCTCAACCCTAAACCCTAAACCCTAAACCCTAAACCCTAAACCCTAAACCCTAAACCCCAAACCCCAAACCCTAAACCCCAACTGAGCCACCTGTAGTCCCATTATTTCCGGTTTAGGGCCTGTGGAGCACTTCTACCAGCTGCCCATATTTGGAGAATGCTTGGTGACTGATGCGACTGTTATAGGGTTCTTCAGGGAGGGGGAGGGGGGTCATGGCGGGTAGGTACTTAGGGAACCTTAGGGAAGCTTAGGGAGCCTTGGGGAGTAGTAGGGGAGTATTCGGGAGCCTTGGGTTACATACCCCCGTTGAAGCCCCGCCCCTTAAGAACCCTATAAGACTGCGATCTCTTGAGGTGACCCCCAACAACATGAGCCACAACACCTCGCTTCTGAAAGATGTGCGGCGCTCGTTGCTTCTTCCCAGGGACTCCAGAAAAATGAATGGAGTAGCACTGATAACTCACAGCTGGGGGCCCAAAAACCCGAAGCCCTAAGCCCTAAACCCCATTCGGGTCTTCATTTTTATTGCAGGGAAATACTCCATGAAGAAGGGGCGTTGGAGAGCTTCGTTCCCGAAACCCGAAACCCCGAAACCCGAAACCCTAAACCCTAAACCCTAAACCCTAAACCCCAAACCCTAAACCCTAAACCCTAAACCACCCTTTTGCGTGCCCTGAGGTTGCAACCTTCATCCTTCCCATGACCCACTTCTTCTCCCTGCCAGACTACACCTTCGAAGAACTTGAGGTTGGCCGAACTGCTCCACCTCATAGGGTCTAGGGTTTAGGGTTTAGGGTTTGGGGTTTAGGGTTTAGGGTTTGGGGTTTAGGGTTTAGGGCTTAGGGTTTAGGGCTTAGGGTTTAGGGACCCTACAGGCCCTCGACCCCAGGAACCTGACCCCGACAAGGATTCCCCCTGCGAGGTGCCGGACTGGGTTTTCCCAAGCACTCCAAAGGAGGAGGGCCCGCGCTTTGCATTTAGGGTTTAGGGTTTAGGGTTTAGGGTTTCGGGTTTAGGGTTTCGGGTTTAGGGTTTAGGGTTTAGATGTTCTGCCTTGATGATCTCCACAAGCTCGGGGGCTTGGGGTTGAAGGGTCGCGGGATGTTAAGGGTTTAGGGTTTAGGATGGGGGTTTTGGGGTTTAGGGTTTAGGGTTGAAGGTTCAGGGTTGCGGTTTAAGGGTTTAGGGTCGAAATGCCCTGCACCCCACACGCTCCGCTGCTGCCGCGAAGGAACAGGCACAGGACAACCACGAGGAACTAGTCCAGATGCTCAGGCACCCGTGGGCTACTTCTACCCAGGGGTCAGGGTTTAGGGTTCAGGGTTTAGTAGGGTTATCCACATTGGGGTCGATTTAAATGATACTAGGCAGGCCCCTTTTAGATATGTCTATTTTGTGTGTGGGTTGAAGAGGATCCAATTCAAGGATTTTTTCAGCGGGATTCTGGGTCGAACCTAGAAAATAACGGGGTTGAGGGTTTAGGGTTTAGGGTGTAGGGTGTAGGGTTTAGGGTAGGGTGCGGGCTTCGGGATTCACAGTGGCCCTAAACTATGGGGAGCATACCCGAATAGAGCGAAAGACGTCAGCCGAGAATACCCTTCCAGACCCTGAAGCCCCACAAGGCCCTCAGAGGCCTGAAACCCTTCATCGACGCTTCATACCCTTCTTATCCTCGATGCCCTTCGACCCCTCAACGCAAATCGTTTGTCCTATTCTCCCTAAACCCTAAACCCTATAAACCCTAAACCCTAAACCTAAACCCTAAACCCTAAACCCTAAACCCTAAACCCTAAGCCCCAAATCCTAAGCCTAAACCCTAAGCCCTAAGCCCTAAACCCTAAACCACGACTGGTGGAAGGCAAGCGAACCAGACACCCGGCCCGGTGCTGAGTCGCTCGAGCTCCCCCAGACCCCCAAACCCTGACAGGGTTTAGGGTTTAGGGGTTAGGGTTTGGGGTTTAGGGTTTAGGGTTTAGGGTTTAGGGTTTAGGGTTTGGGGAACCCCAAGCCCGCCTAAACTCCAAAGCCACCATCCAGTTGCCCAGGGTGGCTGGCCTCTGCCAGCTGGCTCTGCGGGCGTGCCGCGTGCAACCAACCGGGCCGTGCCCTGCTGATACTTGAAGGTTCAGGGCACTTATTCAGGGTTTAGGGTTTAGGGTTTAGGGTTGAGGGTTTGGGGTTTAGTGTTTAGGGTTTGGGTTTTGGGGTTTAGGGTTGATGCTTGGAGGTTCGGGGTACTTATTAACCAGTTATAACTGTACTTATAGCCCACTTATAAGCCCCTTACGTGCCCTAATATGGATATAGTTGGGTTATAAGTACAGTGATTATTGGGTTAAGAAGTACCCTGAACCTCCAAGGACCCGCTTGTGGCTGGCTGATGCCCGTGAGAGGGGGTTGTGGGGTTTTGGTGCCACTTTACAGGGTTTATGGGTTTATGGGTTTGTGGGTTTATGGGTTTAGGAAGTTTATGGGTCTATGGGTTTAGGGTTTTATGGGTTTATGGGGTTAGGCTTTAGGGTTTAGGGGGCTTATGCTTTTCGGGCTTGGGCCTGGGCCTTGCAGCCAGAAGTGCGTGCGAGTGTGATCCTGGCAAGGAGGTATGGACGAAAGTGTAGTTGAGCCCATCACACGCTCTCGCCTCAGCTTCTGCCACAAACCCCTAGAACCAAAATCCTGCAAGCCCTGTGGGCCTCATTACCCCTCCCCTCCCCCCCAAGAAACACAAAGGCCTGTAAAGGTTCTGGGGTTTAGGGTTTAGGGTTTGGGGTTTAGGGTTTAGGGTTGAAGGCTTGTGAGCCCCCAACTCTTGGGCGTTGGCCTGGGGGTCTCGTTTACGGTGTGATTTTCCTCCTCGTTGAAGATCAGCCGCGCAAAGCCTAAACCCTAAACCCCAGACCCTAAACACCGAACTCTAGACCCTAAAGCCTAAACCCAAACCGCACACCCCAAACCCCCTAGAACCCAAAAACCTAAACCCCAAACCCTAAACCCCAAATCCTAAACCTTAGACCCTAAGTCCCAAACCTTAAACCCCAAACCCCAAACCCTAACCCCTAAACCCCAAACCCCAAACCCTAAACCCGAAATCCTAAGCCCTAACCCTACACCCTAAACTCCTAAACCCCAGACCCCAAACCTTAAACCCCAGAACCCTAAACCCCAAACCCTAAACCCCAAACCCAAAGCCCCAAACCCTAAGCCTTAAACCCTAAACCCCAAACCCTAAGCCGTAAACCCTAAACCCTAAACCCTCTCTACCATATATATTTAAACCTTAATTGTATTTTCAAAATTTGGCCGCTTTATTTTCAGAATTTGGCCGCTTTATTTTCAGAATTTGGCCGCTTTATTTTCAGAATTTGGCCGCTTTATTTTCAGAATGAGCCAAAATCAGGCCAAAGGCTAATTGAATTTCAGAATTTGGCCGCTTTATTTTCAGAATTTGGCCGCTTTATTTTCAGAATTTGGCCGCTTCAGAATTTGGCCGCTTTATTTTCAGAATTTGGCCGCTTTATTTTCAGAATTTGGCCGCTTTTTTTTCAGAATTTGGCCGTTTTATTTTCAGAATTTGGCCGCTTTATTTTCAGAATTTGGCCGCTTTATTTTCAGAATTTGGCCGTTTTTGGCTTTCTCAATGTAGTGGGATTCTCTGGGTGGGTGGGTGTTATATCCGAGCCGTAAATAAAGCTTAACCATAAAGCTGCTCGACCCGGAGTGCTGAACCCTAAACCCTAAACCCTAAACCCTAAACCCTAAACCCTAAACCCTAAACCCTAAACCCCCTCCTCACGGCCACGGCTCAGAAGGTCTCAAGCCAGAACCTTCAGAGCCGCCTGCCCAAGGCCGAGGCCTCGCACTTCAGTTTTTGGGGTTTAGGGTTTAGGGTTTAGGGTTTAGGGTTTAGGGTTTAGCCCCCAACCTCAGGCAACACTGGAGGGTCCTTGAGGGAGGGGGGTTCATGGGGGAGGTTTAGGGTTTAGGGTTTAGGGTTTAGGGTTTTCTGTGGGGTTTAGGGCTGGTGTAGAGCCTGGGCTCAAAGGCGCTTTTTGGACTTTTAATTTCCCGGCCGGGGTGGGGGGGGGGGGGGGGAGGGGTTTAGGGTTCATAGGGTTGATAGGGTTTATCGGGTTTATGGGGTTCATGGAGGTTTACAGGGGTTTGTAGGGGTTTATAAGGGGTTTAGAAGGGTTTTTTTGGGCTTATCGGGGCTACTCCCCCCTCGCAGCAGGCGATCCTGGTGCAGTGGTGGTTGAGATGATGCCTTCCCCTGCCAGGACTTGTGCCTTGAGGGTTTCGGGTTGAGGGTAGAGATGCCAGTTGCTTGCTTGGGCCGCCTTTTTTCTTTTTAGTTTTTTTTTTTTTTTTGGGGGGGGGGGGGGGGAGGGTATAATAATAATGATTATTACCATTTATTACTCCTGTTTATGATTTTTTGTTAGGGGGGGGGGGGGAGGGGGGGGCTGAGCGGCTGTGATTCTGTTGCATTCTGCTGGCGATCGCCCCGGGGTCCGCAGTGCCAGGACTTCGCGAGCAGCTGGACTGCACAACTGGGGACTGACGCCAATTTGGGTTTAGGCTTGGCAGGGTAGTTTGTTTTAGGGTTTAGGGTTTAGGGTTTACAGGTTTTGCTGTTCCCCCTTATACTAACAGTCCTTAATAATCCCTGTTAAGGACTGTTAGTATACGGGGAACATCCTAATTTTAGGGTTGCAGGGTTTACAGGGTTTACAGGATTTACAGGGTTTGCAGGGCTTACAGGGTTTACAGGGTTCACAGGGTTCACAGGGTTTGCAGGGTTTACATGGTCTACTGGGTTTACATGGGGTTTACGGGCTTTAACCGGATCAAAGGCTCTAAAGGGCTAACAGGGTTTAGGGTTATCGGTTGCGGGCCGCAGGTTGGGTTTCTAGGGTTTCTAGGGTTGGGGCCGGCGTTCCGAAAGTTAAATTTAGCGCCGGGTCCCTTTTTGGGTATTCGACGATTCTCCGGGGTCTCAAGTGTCGTCGTTTAGAGTACCAAAAAGGTCCCATTTTTGAACTTTCACCTCCCCCCGCCCCCCCCGCCCAGCAGTCCTCAACCCGAAGCCCTCCACCCCACACCCTGAACCCTTTTCCTTATCTTGGTAGCCCAGTGGTACCCTTTACCCCTTCTTTTACTTCCGGGTTCCCTTATAGAGTAACCAACCTAAGAAAAGGATACCCAGATTATGAAAAGAAAATGGCTGCCCGGGCTACCAAGTTATCCGAGGTTCCCGCCCAGATGCAGGCTGATCTGAGCGTGGCGGCAGTCGAGGCTACCATGGCAGTTTCCTGCTTTTGAGTCGGGGTGGTAGTGTAGCAGCTGAGGGCGAGCTTGTACGGTTGAAGGTTCTTGAGTTATGCAGGGTTGAGGGTTCAGGGTGCATAAGGTTTAAGGTTTCGGGTCTGGGTGCAGGGTTTAGGGTGAAGGGTATGGAGTTTGGGGTTGCGGGTTTAGGGATTTGTAGGGTTTATAGGGTTCTTTCAGGGAGGGGGGTTCAAGGGGGGTATGTAACCCAAGGCTCCCTAGTACTCCCTACTACTCCCGAAGGCTCCCTAAGTAGGTACCTACCCCCCTTGTAACCCTAAACCCTAAACCCTAAACCCTAAACCCTAATCCCTTAAGAACCCTGTAAGTTTCGGGTTTTAGGGCGATGCTTGGCAGGAGGGCGTGCCTGATGAGCTGGCCACGCTTCAGCCAAATCAGGCCTGGCTTTCACTCACATCGTGGGCCCCCAAACCCCCGTAGTGATGCACCCTAAACCCTAAACCCTGAACCCTAAACCCTAAACCCTAAACCCTAAACCCTAAACCCTAAACCCTAAACCCTAAACCCTAAACCTAAACCCTAAACGAGTGTGATTAAGGGTTCTGGGGACCTCTGGGTCAACATGTAAGCCTTAAGTAGTAAGCCCCAAACCCTCAACCCTAAACCCTTCAGATCCCCTATATCCAGCCCTAAGCCCTCAAAAGTCTTCAGGGTTTAGGGTTTAGGGTTTAGATCCCCTATATCAAGCCCTAAACCCCTCAAAAGTCTTCAGCTGCTGACAGGACTGGGATCCTCATTCACCCCCCGGGCTTGCGAAAGGCGGGCAGGGTTCAGGTTGAAGGGTTGACGGGTTTAGGGTTTAGGGTTTAGGGTTTAGGGTTTAGGGTTTAGGGTTTAGGGTTTAGGGTTTAGGGGTTCGAACCCCAACCCCGAAGCCCTAAACCCAGAGAGACCCGAAACCTAAACCCTAACCCAAATGGAACTGTATGTGAGTGACATCATGCTGAAATTTTAAAGTTGTTTGTCTAAACAAGCTGGCACCACTCAAAGCGCCGTCCCATCAACCAAAAGCTCCAAAGCTTCGAGCTTGTGGGGGTAGTTTAGAGGCTTCAGGAGGCCCCAAAAAGGCCCCAAGGGCCACAAAGGCCCCACTAGGCCGACAAATGGCCCCGCAGGACCCCAACAGACCTTGGGGAGTGTTTAGGGTTTAGGGTTTAGGGTTTAGGGTTTAGGATTCAGGGCTTAGGGCTTAGGGTTTAGGGTGTTTAGGGTTCAGAAGGCCCTGGAGAGCCCCGGAAAGGCCGCAAAAGGCACCGGGTTCTTTAGGGGTTATTTAGGGGCTACTTAGGTAGAAAGGGATAAGAAAAGGGGGAAGAAGATTCAGGGTCCCTTGTAGGGGTCCCTCCTTATACGCCTTAAAACCGTTTGTTTGCTGGCCAACCTTCCTCCTCTACGAGGACCCCCGGGTTCTTAGTAGGGAATGCAGGAATTAGGGGCCCCATATGTACCCTTGAAGGGAGTAGGTAGGGGCACCAATTCCCTCGTTCCCTACTAGGACCCCAGAGGAAGAGCAGAAGGTCAGCTGGTGACAGGAGATGCTGAATCCCAAGCCCTCTCGAATTGTCCATCAACCCCCAAGTCCCCTAACCCCTAAACCTCACACATAAGCACCCCGACACCCCATCAACCCTAAAACCCTAGAACCCTAAGACCCAGAACCCGGACCCCCCCCCCCCAAAAAAAAAAAAAAAAAAAAAACAAAAAAACCTAAGACACTAAAGCCCCAAACCCCCGGATGATAAAACGCCGAGAGTTCTGAGGTGCGAAATCGAGCCCTGCAAACCTGGAAGTGGGGGGCGCAGGGTTTGAGGCGTTTGAGGGGTTTGAGGGGTTTAGGGGTTTGAGGGGTTTAGGGGTTTGAGGGGTTTGAGGGGTTTGAGGGGTTTGAGGGGTTTGAAAGGTTTGAGGGGTTTGAGGGGTTTGAGGGGTTTGAGGGGTTTGAGGGGTTTGAGGGGTTTGAGGGGTTTGAGGGGTGTGGGGTGTGGCGGGTTTGCGGGGTTTGGGGTTTGAGGGCTTGAGGACTTGGGGTTGAGGGTGCAGGTTCCGTGTTTGAGGTTTTGGGTTGGGGGGTTTGGAGGGTTCAGGGTTTAGGGTTTAGGGTTTTGTCAGGGACTAGCGTTTCTTCTCTTGATTGTAGGGTTAGGGCTTAGTTTTCGGGCTTGGGGGTTGAGGCTTCAGTTTTTTTGTGTTTCTCTTCTCGGGGTGGGCTTAGGGTCTTCTTGTTAGTTTCTCAGGGGTGTTGCGGTTGGGCGATTGAGGTTCCTCAGAGTCTTAGGGCTTTTGGAGTGCAGGATTTGTTTGGGGGTGGGTTTCCGCTCTCTTAAAGGGGTTCAGGGGTTTGAAGGCGTAGGTTTTGTTTTGGGTTTCGGGCTTAGTTATTCTTCGGGTTTGTTTCTTTGAGGGTCTTTAAGAATCAGGTGTTGAGGGATGGAGGTTGGGATGTTCCCCCTTTTCCTAACAGTTCTTGATTGAGATCGTAACGGGGGGTTCTCCGAGTATAATAGGGATTGTAGCGGCCCCAAAATAGTATAATCCTTATCAAGAACTGTTAGGAAAAGGGGGGGGGTCCCAAGAACTGCCCATTTTAGAGACCCTAAACCCTCAACCCTAAACCCTAACCTTTCAACCCCGAGGGTTTATAGTTTAGGTCTGTGTGTCGGTGGTTTTACGTGTCAGGTCCGGTGTCGGGCCTTCGAGCTCAGGGTTGAGGGTTTAGCGTTTAGGGTTTGGGGTTTAGGGTTTAGGGTTTAGGGTTCAGGGTTCAGGGTTTAGAGTTTAGGGTTTAGGGTTTAGGGTTTAGGGTTTGGGGTTTGGGGTTTGGGGTTTAGGGTTCAGGGTGGTTGCTTGGAGTTCAAGCTGCTGAGGTTTCTCGTGAGTACAAGTTCGGCCGCGCGAAGACCGAGTTGTAGCGAGTGCCCATAGCTTCCCGCAAGCCTGCTTAAGGTAAGCCTAAACCCTAAACCTAGACCCCTAAACCCTAAACCCCTAAACCCCTAAACCGCCTAAACCCCCTAAACCCCCCAAACCCCCCAAACCCCCCAAACCCCCCAAACCCCCCAAACCCCCCAAACCCCCCAAACCCCTCAACCCCCCAAACCCCCCAAACCCCTCAACCCTCCAAACCCCAACCCTAGGCTTCCTTCCGGCCCGCAAGCGCCCCCCAAAAACGCATCATGGCAGAGATCTAAAGACACATTCAACATAGTTCTTGGGCTATACCCTTAAAAGAATTTAGGGGCATGGCGAACTCCTCCCTTAGACTCCCGTTTCTCCCATGACCCAAAACCCAAAACCCTAAACCCTAAACCCTTAACCCTAAACCCTAAGCTACGGGGGTATGTTGAAGTTCTTAAACAGAAGGCACTGCAGGGTCGACCCGCCGGATCGGTTTCACGTGCAATCCGCATCTCCGTGCCTTCATGGGATCCCATAATTAATTTCCCCACCCGTTTTCATCCTAAATCCCAAACCCCAAACCCCAAACCCCAAACCCAAAACCCAAAACCCCAAACCCCAAACCCCAAACCCCAAACCCCAAACCCTAAACCCTAAACCCTAAACCCTAAACCCTAAACCCTAAACCCTAAACTTCCTTTTGAGGGGTCCCTCCTTCTGAGCCCTTCAGGTGGGGGGTGGCATAGGATCCCATGGTTTCAAAGATCCGGCAAGAGGATGGCATGCTGGCAGGAAACCCTAAACCCTAAACCCTAAACCCTAAACCCTAAACCCTAAACCCTAAACCCTAAACCCTAAACCCTAAACCCTAAACCCTAAACCCTAAACCCTAAACCCTAAACCCTAAACCCTGAACCCTGAACCCTGAACCCTGAACCCTAAGCTGATGAGGGGCTGAGGGCTTAGGGCTGAGGACTGGGAGGCTGAGGGCGTAGGACTGAGGGCGTAGGTCTAGGGCTGAGGGCTTCGCTTCGGGCTTAGGGCTCAGGGTCGTCCCCATATACATGTGCTAGACACTGGGTTTAGGGTTTAGGGTTTAGGGTTTAGGGTTCAGGGTTTAGGGTTTAGGGTTTAGGGGACAAGGCCCCTACAAATATTTCCAGCACACACCCCAAAATGTCCAAAAACCATAAGCCCCTACAGCCTCACAGCCCCATTTCTTGAACGCGACTAGGGCTAGTTCTCAAAATTAGGGTCCCTTTGTGTGAGTCCCCTACATAGGCGCACCCTTTTGATAAGAACCCTGAATGAAACCCTAATCAGACAACTACCCATATAAGACACCCTAAAGGACCCTAAACCCTAAACCCTAAACCCTAAACCCTAAACCCTAAACCCTAAACCCTAAACCCTAAATCCTAAACCCTAAAACCCTACTCAGAAAACTACCCTAATACGCAAGCTGAGAGCATGCCGTCCTTTCAGAATCTTGTGCCTCAAAGAGGTGACGTTTGTTCGCAGGCACCCGCGTCTGCTCTTGAGAAAAGCGTTTGCAGGGTTTAGGGTTTAGGGTTTAGGGTTATCTAAGGGCCCTTGGTTGTGCAGGGTATGGAAGGGGTATATGCGGAGCCCCCTTTCAAGGGCCCATATTCGGGGACCGTGTGGCTACCCTAAGAGTTTAGGGTTGGGGTTTCGGGTTCAGGGTTTAGGGTGTAGGGTTGCAAGTCCTGAAGAGTTTCAGGAGGCCCAAACCCAAAAGGCCACAAAACTTGTCACCTTTCCGAAGCCTTCTACCCTAAACCCTTAACCCCTAAATCCAAAACCCTAAAACCCTAAAACCCCTGACCCCTCCGCTATTTTTCGGCTCACAAGGCCCTCGCTACCTTAAACCCTTGAACGCTAAACCCTAAAAGAGCCCTAAGGCCCCAAACAAGTCCCTGACCCCTAGAAAACCCTAAACCCTAAACCCTAAACCCTAAACCCTAAACCCTAAACCCTAAACCCCTAAACCCCTAAAACCCTAAAACCCTAAAACCCTAAAACCCCTAAACCCTAAACCCTAAACCCTAAACCCTAAACCCTAAACCCTAAACCCTAAACCCTAAACCCTAAACCCTAAGCCCTAAGCCCTAAGCCCTAAACGTCCTAGTCCCTGTGACTGCTGTTTTCGGCTCAAAACAGGCCCTAGCTACCGAAGGGGAGTGGTGCGGTGACAGCTCGGCTGCCTTTGGGCCCACGCTCCCCTTGCAGGGTGCCCCTCGGCCTGCGACACCCGAATGTAGGGGTTTAGGGTTTAGGGTTTAGGGTTTAGGGTTCAGGGTTTAGGGTTTAGGGTTTAGGTTTTAGGGTTTTAGCCCCAGTGGTACCCTTCTGCCATTGTTTTGGTTTCAAGGTTCCCTTATAAAGTAACCGACCTCCCAAAAAGGGTATCCTCACTACAATATGGTGACTGGGCTACGACATTTGTTTGCAGGGTGCAGCTTGTCTTCAGGGCCAAGGCTTTTCAATTGTGAATTGTGGCATGTTGTTCCCACTGGCTTAGGGTTTAGGGTTTGGGGTTTGGGGTTCAGGGTTTGGGGTGTGGGGTTTGGGGTTTAGGGTGTTGAATCCGAATCTTGGGGGGGTTTCTGGGCAGGAGTCTTGAGGCCCCTCTTTTGAGAAGTGCCCGTATCATCAGCCTTTGGGCCGCGAACATGGAGCGCGCACAGCCCGAACCCCGAAGCTTCAGGGTTTAGGGTTTAGGGTTTAGGGTTCAGGGCTTTAGGATTTAGGGTCTAGAGTTTAGGCTTTAGGGTTTTAGGGTTTTAGGGCTTAGGGTTTAGGGTTTGCCGCGACCCCTAAACCCTAGTCTCATGCTTGTCATGCAGAGCTGACCAGGCTCTGGCAATGGCCTTCGCACCGTCAAGAAGGCATGGGCCACAGAAATGAACGTTTGGGGTTTAGGGTTTAGGGTTTAGGGTTTAGGGTTTAGTTATTCGGGGTTCAGGGATGGCATTTAGGGGTTTAGAGAGATAAGAGATTTAGGGGCTTAAGGGATTTAGGGATGTGAGGGGTTGAGGGATTCAGGGATGAGCCTAATCCAGGCCCAGCGCAGACTGTTGCACTCATGAGGCCCTGTTTAGGGTTCAGGGCTTTGGATTTTGGGGTTCAGGCTTTGAAGCAACCGCTGAAAACCCCTATCCAAGCCTTGACTCCCTAAACCCTAAACCCTAAACCCTAAATCCTAAACCCTAAACCCTAAACCCGAAACCCTAAACCCTAAACCCTAAACGTCCTCGTCCCCGTGACAGCTGAGGCGGTTGGCTCTGGCCTCTGGCGTCAGCAGCCTGCTCTTGCTGGCCTTCTGTGGCCGAAGCCTTTGGGGTTTAGGGTTTAGGGTTTAGGGTTTAAACAATTTTGTCACAAAAATCCTTGCTTGTAATCCTATAAATGCCCTAAACCCTAAACCCTAAACCCTAAATCCTAAATCCTAAACCCTAAACCCTAAACCCTAAACCCCAAACCTAGCTACTGATAAGTACTCCCCTCAAATCTGAAATAGAGCCGCAAGTTGTCGGCACAGTAAACACTACGCCCCCAAGCCCCTAAACTCTACACCCCACACCCTAAAGCCCCGACCCTAATACTCCGACCCCTAAACCCCAAAACCCTAAAGTCCTAAAGCCCAGAAGCCCTGAATCCCCAAAACCCTAACTGACCCTAAAGCCCATAGCGCTTTAGAGCTCTAAACTCTAAACCCTAAAGCCCTCAACTTCACAGGTCTTTATAGGGTTCTTAAGGGGGGGTTCATGGGGGCTAGGTTCATGGGGGCTAGGTACCTAATCAACCAAAACTGATCTGGGTTGAAAAAACAAAATTAACATGTCCAAAAACATGTAAACACCACGATTCTTCCACCTGGTGTTTATAGCCGGAACTTCAAGCCTGTTCAAGCTTGCAGGGATTGTGCCATGTCTGAAGTGAGACTGGGAAACTTAGGGAGGCTTATAAAGAGCCTCAGGGAGTAGTGGGGAGCATTTGGGAACCTTGGGTTACATCCCTTGAACCCGCTCCTTGACGGACTCTATAAGGTCTGCAGCAGTCTTTCCTGGTCCTCAGCCCTTCGGGCGCGCCTAGCACGCACCCTGAGGCCTGGGATGCGGGGATGCAAGGCGTGGGGTCTAGGGTCTAGGGTTGGGTTCATAGGGTTTTGGGGTGTAGAGCTCATAGGGTTGGGGGTTTTAGGGTTTAGGGTCTAGGGTCTATAGGGTCTATAGGGGGGTTTTAGGGTTTGGGGGTTTAGGGTCTTAGGTTTAGGGTTTAGGTTCTACAGGGTTTTAGGGTTTTGGGGTTTATAGGGTTTAGGGTTTGGGCTTTCGGGTTTTGTTAGCAGCCTCTCCTAAAAACCCAAAACACCTAAACCCTGTCAAACCTACCCCCCCCCCCCCCCACCCTCGAACTCCTGTCAAGCCTCAGCCCTATTTGTCTCAGCCCCATTTCAGAGATCCCCATGAGGCTCGGAAGGCACAGAAAAGCCCCAGATCATCCCAATGACGGGAATCCTACTATTTGGGGTCTATATTAGGGGCCCCTTCATTTGGGAAAGCGCCAAATGGGGGTTTCCGAAAATAGGGGTACCCTTTTTTGGGGGTCCCTGTAAGGGGATTCTATTGTATTTGGCCTGTAAAGGGGATACCCCTATTTTGGGAGCTACCCATACAGGCCCCGTAAGACGCGAAACCCTCAACGAAACCCGTTCTTGCCCACTTGTTGGGGGTAGGTCCGGCTCTCGGCCCGAGCAGGCAGGGATGCAAGGGTTTAGGGTTTAGGGTTTAGGGTTTAGGATTTAGGGTTTAGGGTTTAGGGTTTAGGGTTTTGGGTTTAGGATGTAGGTTTAGGGTTCGGGTCTGGGGTTTGGCAGGTCTTCAGATTATTCTTCCTGCAGGCTGTAAGCTTCCCAATCATCACAGAGCTGATGCTAGTTAGTTCTCTTGTAGTCTCTGCATCATCGTCAATGGAAACCCTAAACCCTAAACCCTAAACCCTACATCCGAAACCCTAAACCCCTAACCTTGGATCTCAGGTCCTCAAGCCCTCAGCCCGCAGGGGCGTCGCATAGCTCTATAACTTTATCACTCTGACCCCCCCCCCCCCCCCCCGCTCTCAACTCCCCTGCGTTCCAGGTACTCAACTCTGAACCCTAAAACCCCAAGTCCCAACGCCAGACCCTAAACGCTCAACCCTCGACCAAGCCCCAAAGCCCCAAAGCCTTAAAACCCCAAGACCCCAAAACCCCAAAGCCCCAAAGCCCCAAGGCCCCAAAGCCGTAGTAAGCTTTTCAGGGGCTTCGGGCTCTCAACCCTGAAGCCCAAAAACCCTAAAGCCCTAAGCCCTAAACCTTTTAAACCTAAACCCTAGACCTTACAAGCCCTGAACCCTAAACCCTAGACCACATAAGCCCTGAACCTTAAACCCTAATTAAACCTTGCAAGCCCTGAACCCAAAGCCCTAGACCCTAAACCCTAAACCTTATAAGCCCTGGCCCCAAGCCCTAAGCCCTAAACCCTAAACCCCAAACCCCAAACCCTAAAAACCCAAAACCCCAAACCCCAAACCCCAAACCCTAAACCCTAAACCCTAAACCCTAAACCCTAAACCCTAAACCCTTCAGCTGCGTCCAGGACACCAGCAGACGCCCAGAGCCGCGCCCAGCGCCTTTGAGGCGTCCTGGGCGCTCCCGGCGGCGTGGCCTCCTTGGGCTGCAGTTTAGGTTTAGGGTTTAGGGTTTAGGGTTTAGGGTTTAGGGTTTAGGGTTTCGGGTTTGGGGTTTAGGGTTTAGGGTTTAGGGTTTGGGGTTTGGGGTTTACGGTTTAGGGTTTACGGTTTAGGGTTTCGCTTGCCTTGGCGAATTGTTTATGTGGGTGGCTTTGAAAGCTTTTCGTTTCGTTTGTTTGGGCGAGGTTGAGTGGAGTTTTAGGCGTTTTAAGGGTCAACATGGGGTCGTTTTTTTTTGGGTCCGGTGGCTCAGGCTCTGTGGTAATTAGTGCCTGACAACTCCCAGAACCCCAGAGCCGTGGGCTCAAAGTTCTAAACCCGAAGCCTAAAGCCTAGACTCTAAGCCCCGAGCACTAAACTCCAAACCCTAAACCCTAAACCCTAAACCCTCAACCCTCAACCGCCTGTGTGAGGGTGTCGAAGACATCTTCCGAGCTTCTCCGTGCATGCTGAGGCTTGCCGTTGGTGCAGCCGTCGACGCACGCTCAGCTTCTCTGGAACCCTAAACAGCACAATGACAAGCATAAGTTGGGATGTTCCCCCTTGTACTGATAGTCCTTAATGGGGATTATAAACGGGGGCACTCTAATCCCTAGTAAGGACTGCTAGTATAAGGGGGAGCATCCCGAAGAATAAGGGCTGAGGGTTGAGGGTTTTTGTGATATGTAAGTCATAACCAAGATTTCATAATGCATATACACACTAAACCAACTGTCACCAGACCACCCCTTGTTTTGTTCTAACGAATAATTATAGACATTTATATGATGAGGATGGCTATGACTGCAATTCACACCAAGTGGCATATGATAGATGGATTGAGTGATCGATAGGTAGATAGGACATGTATATTTTTCATAGAAGCGCCAGAGAATACACCCTGAACCCTAAGCCCTGTGCCCCAAGGCCCCAGGTCCTAAGCCCAAGCTCTATACGGGCTCTGCCCTTACATCCTAAACCCAAAACCCCAAACCCTAAACCATCAATCCTACACCCTACACCCTACACCCTACACCCTGCACCCTAAACCTAAACCCTAAACCCTAAACCCTAAACCCTAAACCCTAAACCCTAAACCCTAAACCCTAAACCCTAAACCCTAAACCCTAAACCCTAAACCCTAAACCCTAAACCGAAGCCCTAAACGGTCCAGGGATTAGGGTTCTCTTCTTCAGGTGCTGGCCTCGCATCGAGATGCGCCGAGACCTTGGGACCTGTCTTTCGCGCCCTCATCTTTTGGTTTAGGGTTTAGGGTTGAGGGTTTACGGTTTAGGGTTTAGGGTTCCCAAAGACCTGACATTCTCCTATACCCTAAACCCTAACTCTTCAACCATAAATGACCTAAGAATAGGATCCCGCCGAACTCCAAGCCCTCCTGAATCCTCAAGCCCTAAACCCCCTGAACCCCCAAACCCTCAACGCCCCTGAATCCTGAAACCCTAAACCCTAAACCCTAAGCCCTAAGCCCTAAACCCTAAACCCTAAACCCTAAACCCTAAACCCCTCCAGCGTCAACCCTGAGACCCCGCCCAGCACGACAGTCTGAGGGTTAAGGGCTTCGGGGTTCGGGCTTCGGGTTTAGGGTTTAGAGTTTTAACATCTGGCAGGTCCTGCACCACGATGTACGGCAAGCACGACAAGAAGACCTTTAGAGGGACCCCCGTGTTTTTTCTTTATAAGGGCTTTGGGGGGGCTTTTGGGAGGTTGGGCTTTAGGGGTTCGTGGATCAGTGTAAGGGCTTAGGGCTTAGGAGTGAGTTTAGCGTCTAGGGTCTAGTGTTTAGGGTTTTGGGTTGCAGGGTTCAAAGGAAATTCGGGGTGTTTGGGTACCGGCAAGGCAAGCCGCCTCCAAGAGTTCGCATCTCGCACTTCCGGGCCGCTTTCCAGGTGTTGGGGTGGTCCTACACCCGAAGCCCTAAGCCCTCAACCCTAAACCCTCAGCCCTTCTTGCTTCGGGATTGTAGTCTTTTTCCTTCAAGTTTAGGGAGCCCAAGAGGTTCTTTATTCTCTTCGACTCGGGTTTAGGGTTTAGGGTTTAGGGTTTAGGGTTTAGGGTTTAGGGTTTAGGGTTTAGGGTTTAGGGTTTAGGGTTTAGGGTTTAGGGTTTAGGGTCCAGTTGCCTTCACGATCCTTCGCGCCGCTTCTGCAGAGCTCCAGCCCTGAATGCTGAACCTGCCCTCTGTTTCTCTGCAAGGTTCAGGGTTTGTGGTTTAGGGTTTAGGGTTTAGGGTTTAGGGCAAAGAGGTCCCAAAACCCTAAACTCAAAACCCAGAAGCCACCCTAAGCCCTACGTCTTACCACGCGCAGGAAGCAGCATGCTCACACGTTCGGCAAGTATCGCCTGCGCAAGAACAAGGCGGCTTCAGTTCAGCCCTGTCTCTCACTAGGGTTTAGGGTTTAGGGCTAGGGTTTAGGGTTGAGGGTTTAGGGTTGTTTAGGCTTAGGGTTGAGGGTTTTAGGGTGTTAAGGTTTAGGGGTTCTGGAATGATGGACCCTAAACCCTAAACCATAAAGGGGCTCTTTTGCAGCATGGACCGTTCGGAAAAGAGTGCCTTAAAAGGGACTACCTTGTGTTTCGTTTTGGGGAGTTTGGTGCAGGGCTTAGGGCTTAGGGTGTCGGGTGTTTGGTTTAGGGGTTTAGGCTTTTAGGGGGACAAGTATTTTCGACCATGGGGGCTGTTGGGGATCTGGATCCCTCTGTGTGGAGCTGGTCTTGTGGCTGGTTCAAAACAGTTGCATGTCGCATGGTATCAGTTTTGTCATTTTAGGGTTCAGGGTTTAGTCCTTTCAGTTGAGGGTGCCGATAAGGGAACCCATTTCAGGATCACGTCAGCTTGTTCGCTGCCGCAGGCGCGACGCATCCAGGCGATCAAGTCGACACCTGAGATTGCCGGCTGTTCTGATCTTAGGGCCTAGGGTTTGAGATTCAGAAAATTCGCTTTATGAGGTCTCGCGGCATAGAATTAGCAGTGCTACAGAGGGCTTATAGGGAGGCAATGGGGTTTACTGTAGGTTTGGGGCAGTTTGGGGCAGTGGCGGTAGTTTTAGGGGGATTCGTCGGGTCTTTGGGTCTAGGGTTTGAGGAGTTCAGGCAGGGTTTAGGGTTTAGGGTTTGGGGCTTCGGGTTTAGGGTTTAGGGTGTAGGGTTTAGGCTTTAGGGTTTAGGGTTCTTCAGGGGGTTGGTTCCGGGGTTTGAGAGGCCTGTATATGAAGATTTTCGAGCCTTTATAGGGTAGTTAGGATCCAAGTTTAATGACCCCCATGACCCCCATGACCCCTATGACCCCTATGACTGCACCCCTATGACCCCTATGACCCCCATGACCCCCATGACCCCTAAACCCGTGAACCCTAAACCTCTACACCCTCATTCCGAAACCCCAAATCGCCAAACCCCAAACCCCAAACCCATGCAAACTTCAGCGCGCAAGGAACGGAACCTTCGACCCGGAGAACACGCCCCAAAGGGCGCGGCATCCGCTGCCACGTGTAGAGTTGCAGGGTTTACGCTTTTAGGGACAGGGTTTAGGAGTTTTGAGGGGGTTTTAGAAGGGGGGGATCCCAATGGGAACCCCAAACAGGGAACCTCAAGAATATAGTAGAAATATAACGGGAAAGCAGGACCCTGGTAGGCATATTCCTGTTTTATTCCTTTCTTCTTGGGGTTCCCGTGTTTGGGGTGTCCACTGGCTTGGGGCTCAGGGTTTGGACTTTCGCCGTGGATCACCCAACTCCCGAGCCAAATGGACGCCTGGGCCGATGCAGGGACAGCCAGAGCCCGAGCACACTTGGGACTACGACAACCTTGTCGAGAACCCCATGCGCCCCCAGCTGGCTTTCGGGCTTGTCCAGTTTCTGATTGTCGGGAGTAGAGTAGGCTCTACCCTAAACCCTGAACCCTCAAACCCCAAACAAAGAGTAGAGGCTTTGGATCGCGTTAGCGCTTTCAGGGCACAGGGTTGGGGTCTGAGAGTGCAGGATGTGGCCCTCCAGTGGTTTACGTCTTCAGGGTTTTGTGATTTCAAAGGTTGGCGGGTGCACGGTTCACGGTCCCATGGTTGCGGATGTTCTGCGTGGTTTTGAGCCTTTGTGCCCTGAAAAGTGGTTTAGGGTTTAGGGTTTAGGGTTTAGGGTTTAGGGTTTAGGGTTCATCAAGGCTCCTATTCTCATAGTCAGGCCCATGGATGGTCATCGGGTCATATGTGTACGAGTGGGGCAGCCAAACAGCCCAGATGATTTCCTTTTGTTGTGCCTGCATCGGTAAAGATCACCCTAAACCCTAAACCCTAAACCCTAAACCCTAAACCGTAAATCCTAAACCCTAAACCCTAAACCCTTCAACCCCTAAACCCTAAGTGTCCTCTCTTTCGGGCCCCACTCTCCGGAGCAGACGCCGCCAGATACTATGCTCCGGACTATTTGAAGGAAGCCATGTATGTCCGGCGCCCCAGAGTTGCCCCCTGAACCCTACACCCTAAACCCCAAACCCTAAACCCCAAACCCCAAACCCTAACCCGAAATCCTAAACCCTAAATCCTAAACCCTAAACCCCCTGCTGCTCCCCAGAGTAGGATGGGACGAAGCGTGTGGATGGCACCCAGGACTACTGGGATGACGTGAACGAGGCGATGCGTAAGAGGTGGAAGGACTGAGGGGCTTAGGGTTTAGGGTTTAGGGTTTTGCCATGGAGGGTCTCTTTGCCATCTTAGGGGTGTTGAAGCCTTTCGGTGCCTCGCAAGCTCGATATGATTCCGGCACACCTATAAACCCTAAACCCTAAACCCTAAACCCTAAAACCCTACAAACTTCTAAGCCCCCCAAGGCCCTTAAACACCCGGAACGCTGGCTGGCTCCGAAATTACGGTAACATCCCAACCCCGACGATCCCTTGTCTGGTCAGGTACCGTAAACCCTAAACCCTAAACCCTAAACAATAAAACCCTAAACCCTAAACCCTGAACCCTAAACTTTGTCAGAGATGTTCGCTCCAGGGCCAAATATATGGCTAGAATTGTATATATGTCTTTACATATACATGTTATATTCATACAGCAAAATGATATATAATGGTCACATCATGACGTCTTTCCGGCTGGAGGTAGGAAGCCTTCGAACCCACCAACTAGCTGGCTCCGCACGAGTGCGCGCTCGCTCACACTCACTCCCTCTCTCCCTCTTTCAGTCTCTGAGTCCCGCCCAAGGTTTAGGGTTTAGGGTTTAGGGTTTAGGGTTTAGGGCTTAGGGCTTAGGGTTTAGGATCTCGGGTGGGTCGAGGGATGCGCAGATGCAGACCTCCCGTGCCACGCCTGTCAGGAGTTCATGGGCATCAAGGGCAGCCAGCGGTATTTCAAGAACTGGACCCCGCCGGGCATGGAGCCGCCGCCAGAGGCGGGCGGCGCCCTGAAGGGGTCTTATCCCAAAAACCTACGCAGCTCTCAACCTCCACACATCCCAGAGTTTAGGGTTTCGGGTTTCGGGTTTAGGGTTTAGGGTTTCGGGTTTAGGGTTTCGGGTTTAGGGTTTAGGGTTTAGGGTCATCCTAAAACCCTGAACCCATGCACCCCCGCGCCTTGCGCAGGCAGAGCCTCCCGCTCCACCATCGCCTCCGACTCCTCCTCCGCCGGCCTCGAAGCCCAAGGCCAAGGCTTGCGGACGCTTAGAATGCCAAGGGGGTTAAAATTTAAACCCTAAACCCTAAACCCTAAACCCTAAACCCTAAACCCTGAACCCTGAACCCTGAACCCTGAACCCTGAACCCTGAACCCTGAACCCTGAACCCTGAACCCTGAACCCTGAACCCTGAACCCTGAACCCTGAACCCTGAACCCCATTCCCAACAAAGGGTTGCTGGGCTGCAGGGCTTCAGGGCTGCTCGGCTCTTGGGTTGAGGGTTTGGGGTTTAGGGTTTAGGGTTTAGGGTTAAGGGTTTAGGGTTTAGGGCTTACGGTGCAGGGTTGGGGGGCTGAGGTGCCTACTCCCTGCACATCCCCTAAACGCCTAACCCCGAGCCCCAATCGCTTATCCTAACCTTAAATCCTAAACCCTCCTTTAACTTCAGGTTTTTGTAGGGTTAGGGTCTGGGGTTTAGGGCTTAGGGTTTACGAATCAGGGTTTCGGGTCCAGAAGCTTAGGGCTTCGGGTGTAAGTTTCGGGGTTGGAGGGTTTAAGGTTTAGGGCGGGCTGGTGTTTAGGTTTGCGACTCTCCAATATCCTAAACCCTGAACCTTAAGCCCTAAACCCTTAACCCTAAACCCTAACCCTAAACCCTAAACCCTAAACACTAAACCCTAAACCCTAGCTCTACAGACCCAAGCCCTCCTCCTCGCAGTCCTGAGCCATCAGCCGCCAAGGCCCTCAAGCCCTAAGCCCTACAAACCCTAAACCCTAAACCCTGAACCCTAAACCCTAAACCCTAAACCTATTAACCCCAAACCCTCTGAAAAGGCTCCCTCCACGCCCGCTCCGGAAGAGCCGGAGCCAGTGAAGGAGGAGGAGGCGCATGGAGATAGCCTGGAGATTCGGAAGAGAAGAGGGGTTCAGGTTTCATCCTTAATTATGCCCTAAACCCTAAACCCTAAACCCTAAACCCTAAACCCTAAACCCTAAACCCTAAACCCTAAACCCTAAACCCTAAACCCTAATCCCTAAACCCTAAACCCTAAACCCTAAACCCTAAACCCTAAACCCTAAAACCCCCAAAAAACACAAGATCCCACAATAAGCTCTGAATCCTAAGACCCAAGCCTTCGAGGCGGCGGCTTCAGGGTTTCGCGACCACGGGGTTAAGGGTAGGGATTTAGGGTTTAGGGTGTAGGGTTTAGGGTTTAGGGTTTAGGTTTTAGGGTTCAGGGTTTAGGGTCTAGGGTTTAGGGTACGGATGTAGGGCTTAGGGCTTGAGTATTGTGACGGTTGTTTTGATGATTGCTGCGGCAGTTTTCCATTTCCGATCAACAGCATTACTATGGCTACTGCCAGAATCAATCTTTGCTGTGATCTTTTATTCTTACATATCTACTAATTGCTTAAGAACCCCGAAAAGATAAAGGCATGTTCTTCCTTATTACGGGCAATATAGGAATTGTTATTTTAATCTTTTGAGATTATTTCTATTTTTTAGTTCTTTTGGGGTTCTTAAGCAAATAGTAGATAAGCGTGAGCCTGGCCATGAAGTTGCTATGGAGTTGCTGTCTTTTGTCCATTCGGAAGTTCATTGGCGTCCTTGGCGGATGGTTTGCTTCCTCACCCACTCCCCTAAACCCTAAACCCTGAACCCTAAACCCTAAATCCTAAACCCTAAACCCTAAACCCTTCTTTCCAAGAACTGTCCAGCCTTGCCACCTCATGTCCCAAATGAAACCAAGAAAAGCAGACCTTGAGACTTTAGAATCCACAATCTGTGTTGAGTGCACGATTATTGTTTTTTAGAATTCTTTATTCTTGTTATTATTAATAGAATTTCGATGAGTTTTACTTCCAATATTTTATTTCCACTTTTATATTTCCATTATCATTACCACCATTACTGCTGCTATTCCAGGGGTAGTGTTTTCGTTGCGATTTTTCACTGTTGTGAGAACTGTTATTATTGGCGTAAATGCTTTTCTTATAGATCTGTGTTATAGTGATTCTTGATAATGATAGTGGGACTATTGCTGTCATTACTGTTATTTGTTATTGTTATTGTTCTTAATAGTATTGTTTTGTTTTAGGTTTCTTGTCATTGTCATGATTGCTGTTCCCATTTCTTGTTACCAGTCCTGTTACTTTTGTTTTAACATGAGCGTTCTTACTTTCGTCTCATCATTGTTGTTATTACCGTCCTTGTTCTTATTCTTCTGATTGCTATTCTTTCAAATACCTACTATTGCTGCTACTCTTCTTGCTGTCGGTATTCTTCTTCCTTCGGCGATTTCGAGCGTTATTGTTCTGATCATTTTTACGATGGGTTTGTTGCTGGGAAGCATGCCAGCAGTTTGTGCCATCAAGCTGGGTCCTGGGTTTAGGGTTTAGGGTTTAGGGTGCGTGTGGGGCTACGCTGTGGTGTTTGTATGCCCTCAACCTAAGTCCGACATCTCCCACATTGAAAGGCTGGTTCGTTCTTGCTGACAGGAGACTCCTCCGCCAGAGCCTGCTGCAGAGAAGAAGGTTGGGCGCAGCTCGGGCGGGCTTTGGGAATTCGGAGAGGTGTTCCACTGACGAGTGCGCGGCAGGCTGCAAAGCCGAAGCCAGCAGAAGAGCCTGCTCCAGAGAAGAAGGTTCGGCACCGCTCGTGTTGGGTTTCGAATTCGGGAAGCCACTGTTCCGCTGCACGGCAGGCTGAAAAGCCGAAGCCAGCAGCAGAGAAGAAGGCCTGAGCCTTCAATCTTACAACTTGTATCCGAGACCTCTACACTGAACCTCATTCTGTTTCATCCTTGCTGACAGGAGACTCCTCCGCCAGAGCCTGCTGCGGAGAAGAAGGTTCAGCGCCGCTCGTGTTGGGTTTCGAATTTGGGAAGCCACTGTTTCGCTGCACGGCAGGCTGAAAAGCCGAAGCCAGCAGCAGAGAAGAAGGCCTGAGCCTTCAATCTACAACTTGTATCCGAGACATCTACACTGAAGCTCATTCTGTTTCATCCTTGCTGACAGGAGGCTCCTCCGCCAGAGCCTGCTCCAGAGAAGAAGGTTCGGCGCCGCTCGTGTTGGGTTTCGGGATTCGGGAAGCCGTTCCACTGTTCCGCTGCACAGCAGGCTGAAAAGCCGAAGCCAGCAGCAGAGAAGAAGGCCTGAGCCTTCAGTCTACCGAGACCTCTACGCTAACCTCATTCTGTTTCATCCTTGCTGACAGGAGACTCCTCCGCCAGAGCCTGCTGCGGAGAAGAAGGTTCGGCGCCGCTCGTGTTGGGTTTCGGAAGTCGGGAAGCCGTTCCACTGTTTCGCTGCACGGCAGGCTGAAAAGCCGAAGCCAGCAGAATTCAATCTACACCTTGTATCCGAGACCTCTCGTGTTGGGTTTCGAATTTGGGAAGCCACTGTTTCGCTGCACGGTAGGCTGAAAAGCCGAAGCCAGTAGCATTCAATCTATAACGTGTATCCGAGACCTCTACACTGAACCTCATTCTGTTTCATCCTTGCTGACAGGAGACTCCTCCGCCAGAGCCTGCTGCGGAGAAGAAGGTTCGGCGCCGCTCGTGTTGGGTTTCGGAAGTCGGGAAGCCGTTCCACTGTTTCGCTGCACGGCAGGCTGAAAAGCCGAAGCCAGCAGAATTCAATCTACACCTTGTATCCGAGACCTCTCGTGTTGGGTTTCGAATTTGGGAAGCCACTGTTTCGCTGCACGGTAGGCTGAAAAGCCGAAGCCAGTAGCATTCAATCTATAACGTGTATCCGAGACCTCTACACTGAACCTCATTCTGTTTCATCCTTGCTGACAGGAGACTCCTCCGCCAGAGCCTGCTGCGGAGAAGAAGGTTCGGCGCCGCTCGTGTTGGGTTTCGGAAGTCGGGAAGCCGTTCCACTGTTTCGCTGCACGGCAGGCTGAAAAGCCGAAGCCAGCAGCACTCAATCTACAACTTGTATCCGAGACCTCTACACTGAACCCCATTCTGTTTCGTTCTTGCTGACAGGAGACTCCTTCCTAAGCCTTCAAGCCCCGAAACCCTTCAAATCCTGAACTTCCGCGCTGCAAGCTCGGAGCCCGGCATAACCTTCGGCATTGGATTTGAAACCTGCTCTTAAACCCTAAACCCTAAACCCTAAACCCTAATATATCCTGAAACCCACTGTGAACCTTCGGGTTCAGTGGAGTAGTAGGGCAAACTTTCCCAAGCTTCCGAGAAAAGAGTTTAAAGATCTTTCCAGCCCGAGACGTCCTAAGCCCTCTAAAGCCGAAACCCTAAAACCCGATAGCCAAAATCCCAAAACCCTAAAACCCTAAACCCTCTAAACCCCAAACTGTATGAACACCACGGGCTAGCCCAACTCCCTATATACACTCTAAACCCTTGAACCCTTGAACCCTTAAACCCTTAACGCCCTAAACCCCTAAACCCTAAATCCTTAAAGCCCTAAACCCTAAACCCTCCACCGTTCAACCCTTCAACCCTTCAACCCTAAACCCTAAACCCTAAACCCTTCAACCCTTCAGCCCCAAGCCGTTGTCCCGGGAGGCTCCAGAGCCTGAGCCAGAGAAGGCCACGAAGGCCGAGAAGGTGGGGTGGAACCGGCATACATAACATAGGGTTTAGGGTTTAGGGTTTAGGGTTTAGGGTTTAGGGTTTAGGGTCTAGGGTCTAGGGTCTAGGGTCTAGGGTCTAGGGTCTAGGGCTTAGGGCTTAGGGCTTAGGGCTTAGCTCTGAGCGCTTAGGGTTTGGTTTAGGGTTTAGGGCGTTGAGGGTGTTGAGGGTGTCTAGGATGTGTAGGGGTTATAGAGCTTGTGGCCAAGAGGAATGAGATACAAAGACCGCGGAGGCTACGGCAAGAGGCAAATGACTATCTGGTACACAGAGTAGGCCCTGACTCCCTTTTGTTAGGGTTTCGGTTCCCTCAGAAGCCCCTTCAAAACCAAAAAGGGTTACCCTTTTTTTCTTCCTAGGTTGCTCTTGGTTCATTGAGCTTTCCTTGGCTTCCTTCCCCTTACCCCTCAACTTTCAACACGAAATCAACACATTGAGTCCCCAGCTATGAATCCTAGGTGGGATTAGGGAGACCCCTAAAGGGGGACCCCTTCTCAACCCTCTTCTGGGGCTACTAAGGAGGGACCTTATATTGAGCGGGTCTATATCCCCAAGTGTCCCCCTAACCCTACCTCCTAATGAATCTACTCGACTTCAGAAGGAAATTTTGCTAGGCCTTTTATAGGGAGGCCAGCATCCGCAAGGTCGGCTTCGAGAGGCGAACCCTTAGCTTCCCTAAACCCTAAACCCTAAACCCTAAACCCTAAACCCTAAACCCTAAACCCTAAACCCTAAACCCTCAACCCTCAACCCTTCAACCCTTCAACCCTTCAACCCTTCAACCCTTCAACCCTTCAACCCTTCAACCCTTCAACCCTTCAACCCTTCAACCCTTCAACCCTTCAACCCTTCAACCCTTCAACCCTTCAACCCTGATCCCGAAACCCCGTGTGGTTGTCCTGGAAGGCTCCGGAGCCTGAGCCGGAGAAGGCGGAGAAGGCCGAGAAGGAGGGGCTAGTCATATTTTTCGGGATACAAGGAATACAAACCCTCCCTCATATGGGGTTTAGGGTTGGTTTTAGGGTTCAGGGTTTCAGGGTTTCGGGTTTCAGGGTTCAGGGTGTTTTGGTTTTAGGGTTTAGGGTTTGACGATTTTGGGGCTTATGTTTGTGAATACTCCAATCCCCCTTGGTCCAGGACGCTGCCTTCAATTCTTGCGGGGATCTGATAGCCATGGGGTGCTGCAAATTGCGGGACCGAAGCCCTAAACCCTAAACCCTAAACCCTAACCTCTAAACCCAAAGGGTGCCTATTGTTTGGCACGTTTTTTTCTATTTAATTCTTTCTTTTTTTTTTGGGGGGGGGGGGGGGGTTGGGCTGTGGGTGGGGGGGTTGGGGTTGAGGTTCGCGTAGGAGCCCAGGGACTCCTAGACGCCTGAACTCCGCAACATTCGGGTCTTGAGGTTTAGGGTTTAGGATTTAGGGTTTTCCCTGAATACTAGGACCCAGAGCAGGCTCTTATTGCACTGTGTTTTAAAACATTTAGGCTCTCTGAGAAGCCCTTGAAAGCAAAAAGGGCACCCTTGTTTTTTTCCTAGGTTTCTCCTAGGTCTGGAATACTAGGTTCTGGTTCTTGATGAAAAATTCAGGAGTGGGCTGACACATCTGCGCACTCTCTGTGCAGGCCCCAAAAGCTGCTTCGCCAAGCGGCAAGGCCGGGCAGCGGATTTCGCCAAAGCCTTCTTCATCTTTGAGACCGTAACACCCAACCCAAGACCCTAAACCCCAAACCCTAAGCCACAGCCTTCTTCATCTTTGAGACCGTAGCACCCAACCCAAGACCCTAAACCCCAAACCCTAAACCCTAAACCCCAAACCCCAACACCCCCCCCCCCCCCGGCAAACCCCTAAACCCTAGATTTGTCCCTGGAAGGATGTCAAAGCGCTGCGAGAGAGATCCCGCGCGGGCATCCTTGACCGCTTCCGGGGGCAAAATTGGGCTTACGGGTTTCGAGTCCAGTGGGTGTAGGGTTTCGGGTTTAGGGTGTAGGGCTTCGGGTTTAGGCTTCAGGGGGCTTGAGGTTCATAGGTAGTTGTAAGTCGGGCTATACTTGCCCAACATGTAGGTTCTAACCTGTCATGGCTAATAGTAGAAGCCCCTGTTCTAGCCCTGACCCCTAAACCCTAAGCCCTATAAACCTTAACCGCTGCCCATAAACCTCAGAGTAGAATTTAGGGGTTCGATGCTTTTGTGGTTTACGGCTGAAGGAGGCCGCAGGTCGAACCTGTAGATTGTACGGTTTTCGTGCGACCCTAAACCCTAAACCCTAAACCCTAAACCCTAAACCCCAAACCCCAAACCCCAAACCCTAAACCCTAAACCCTAAACCCTAAACCCTAAACCCTAAACCCTAAACCCTAAACCCTGAATCCTGAACCCTGAACCCTAAACCCTAAACCCTGATTCCTAAATCAGGGTCCGGTTGTAGGGGCTTCAACGATTTCAGGGCCTTTTGGCCTGCAGGAATTGGGCCCCCCGTAGTGTCAGGCCCCTAAGCCCTAAGCCCAAAAGCCCTAAAAGCCCTAAAACCCTACACCCCAAAATCCTAAACCATAAAACCCTGAAGCTCTCAAACCCTACGGTTTAGGGTCTAGAGCTTAGGGCTTAGGGTTTAGGGCTTCTGAGCCGTATACATTAATCCCTGAACGCAGACTGTTTAGGGTTCAGGGCTTTGCCACCGCGAGGACTGTAAGAAAGCGCTGACGGAGACAGGTGGAGACATGGAGAAGGCACTGTGTTGTGTGTCTTTCGAGCAGCTTGACGGTTCCTAAACCCTAAACTCTATAAACCCTAAACCCTAAACCCCAAACTATAACCCCTCAACATAGTCTCGGATATCCTAGACCCAACCGCTAGTAGGCGTCTGTGGGAATGGGCACCTTCTTTCCCCTGCATTACTCCCTTCAAGGGATGTTATAGGGTACCTACTTCCCTAATTTATAATCCCTATATTCCCTAAACCCCAAACCCTACACTCCAAACCTAAGTCCCCCAAAATTCTACTGAGATCTAATCAGCATAAACGGCTGATTACCTGCGAGACTCCATCATCGAAAAATCTTTTGTGGGGAATGTGGGTTTAGGGTCTAGCGTTGAGGGTTGAGGCTCTAGACAGTTTTAGAATCTATGATCAGGGCAGGTTTTAGGAATCGGTTGTCGGTGGAAACTGTGATCGACGTGTGATCTGGGACTGGAGTCTTTGATCAAGCGTGACGTCTCGGAATCGCGTTTAGGGTTTAGAGTTTAAGGTTTAGGGTTTAGGATTTAGGGGGTCGTCGCTCACTCCCGGTCACAGATTTGAAAGCCCCACTCGTTCCGCCCTGGTCAAAGAGTTTGGGTGCCCGCGACCGACTTTCTGCACTTTCTAAACTTGGACCGACAACCGATCACAAACCGACCGCAGGCTTTTGACAAGTACTATTTGCTTATTAAGAAACCCCCCCTCCCCGCAAAAAAAGGACACAAATATACTTCCCTATAAGGGTAATAAAGGGATTGCTATTTTTGTCTTTTGGGCTGTTACAGCCGTTTTGCGGCCGATGACAAACCGATCACAGACCACAACGCACATCCATCAACGAAACTGTCACAGAAACATTCCCTGATCTCAGCATGGCGCAAGAAGCTACGACGACTTGGGTGGTTGTCAAAATTATGGTCCCTTTTTGGATCCCTATTATAATACGGCACCTACTATTTAGGGTACCCCAAAAGGGATCAGAATTTTGACAACCACCCACTTATATCGCTCTTTATGGTTATGCTGTAGTCTTATCACTCTTTACCAGGTTCCGACTTCCAGGGCTGGGCTAGTATAGTAGTCCCTGTAATCAACCCTTTCAAGGGTCCTTTTTAAGGGGTTATAGGGTACAATAGCCCATGCTGGTAGGCAAGTTTTTTTAGGATAACCCTAAACCCTAAACCCTAAACCCTAAACCCTAAACCCTAAACCCTAAACCCCAAACCCTAAACCCTAAACCCCAAACCTTTTAGGGACTCCTTGGGGCTTCAGGCCATGGAGTGGTTGAAGAAGAAGGGCATGGCCAAGGCAGACAAGAAAGCGGGTAATGTGGCAGTGGAGGGCTGCGTGGCCTCCTATGTCCCTTGGTGTTTGGTTTAAGGTTTAGGGTTTAGGGTTTAGGGTTTAGGGTTTAGGGTTTAGGCTTTAGGCTTTAGGGTTTAGGGTTTAGGGCTTACCCTTTTTTTGTGGTTCTGGATTCCCTTATAAAGTAGCCAGCCAAAGAATGGGTTCTCTGATTATGATGTGGTTACTGGGCTAGTAAGGTCCACTTCAACAACAAGATCGCTGTCCTGGTCGAGGTGAACAGCGAGACCGACTTTGTGGCCAGCAACGCCATCTTCAAGGAGTTCACAGCGGACGTCGCGATGCAGATTGCCGCCAACTCGGACGTCGCGTACGTGACCACGGAGGACGTGCCTGCGGCGGCAATGGAGAAGGAGAAGCAGCTTGAAATGGCCAAGGAGGACCTTGAGGGCAAGCCGGACAACATCAAGGAGAAGATTGTCGGCGGCCGCTTGAAGAAGAAGTTCGAGGACTTGGTAGCCCTGTGGTACCCTTTTCCCTTTTCGGGGGATTCAAGGTTCCCCCTATAAAGTAGCCTACCCTGATTCTGATATGGTTACTGGACTACCAAGAGGAGAAGGCGCTGATGAGCCAGAAGTGGCTGAAGGATGAGGACATCACAGTCCAGGAGGCCGTGAAGCAGACCATCGCCAAGCTGGGTGAGAACATCGTGATCAGGCGCGCGTCGAGCCCTGAACCCTGAAGCCCGCACTCCCGGAACATCCTGAAGCTCGAAGCACCCTGAGAGCCTTAACCCGCAATCCCTGAACCCCGAACCCTAAACCCTAAACCCTAAACCCTAAACCCTAAACCCTAAACCCTAAACCCTAAAATCCCTCCCCAAGTCCCCTGAAGCTCCCCAAGCTCAGGCGTTTCCAGCGCTTGACGTTGGGCGAGGGCCTGGAGAAGAAGGAGGACGACTTTGCCGCCGGGGTGGAGAAGGAGCTTGCCAAGTACAAGAACGCGGAAGGCGAGGCAAAAGAGGAGAAGAAGGAGGAGAAGGAAGAGAAGAAGGAGGAGAAGAAGGAGGAGCCAAAAGAGGAGAAGGAAGAGAAAAAGGAGAAGCCCAAAGTGGCCGTCAGCGCGGCGCAGGTGAAGGAGCTCCGCGGGCGCTCGGGCGCAGGGATCCTGGACGCCAAGAAGGCGCTGACGGAATGTGAGGGGGACATGGACAAGGCCATGGAGTGGCTGAAGAAGAACCTCGTAGCTGAATGAGTACGCTTTCTACACTTTTTGGGGTACTAGAATCCCCTGTAGAGCTGAAAGTGGTGAAGCTTGGAGGGTGGTTTGGGAGAGCCAGGTGTTCCCTAAACTCCGATAAGGCAACCCCCCAAATCCCGGTCCCACCTGAGCCCTTCTGCCTAAGGCCCTAAATCCTGAAACCCTGAAAGGCACCAAAAAGTCGCCTTCAGGCTTGAGGAGGGTTTCGGGTTTAACCCTCAAATAAAGGCCCCACCCCAAACCCTAATACAGCAGCTGATGGAATGCCCGATGCGATCCCCATACGTGCACTCCCAATATGATTGCATTGTAAGCTTCCCTCGCCCCAAAAGAATCCTTCCAACTAAATAGGCCCCTATACCACTTGGACTTAGACCCCTTCCCGACCACTGAGCCTAAACCCTCAGCCCCAAACCCTGAAACCCTAAACCCTCAAAATACTCTCCAAACCCCTAACCCCTAACCCCTAACCCCTAACCCCTAAGCCCCAAACCCCAAACCCCAAACCCTAAACCCTAAACCCTAAACCCTAAACCCTAAACCCTAAACCCTAAACCCTAAACGCTAAACCCTAAACCCTAAACCAAGGAAGGGCATGGCCAAGGCCGATAAGAAGGCCGGCAACCTCTCCGCGGAGGGGGTCATCGCGTCTTGGAAGCCCAGTGGTGCCCTTTTCCCTTGTTTGGTTAGTAACCAACCTAGGGTCCAGGGTCAGGGGTTTGGGGTTTAGGGTTTAGGGTTTAGGGTTTAGGGTGTTCTAGTATGGTTACTGGGCGACCAAGGCCTCCTACGTGCATTTCAACTCGAAGCTGGGTGTGCTGGTGGAGGTGGGACTGTCGAGGGGTGGGGTTGAGGGTTCAGGGTTTAGGGTTTAGGGTTTAGGTTTAGGGTTTAGGGTCTAGGGTTGGGGCCGTAGGGGGGGGAGGGAGGGGGGGGAAGGGAGAGACGAAAGGGGTGGGGAAGGAAAGGGGGAGGGGGAAGGGGTGGGGAGGAGGGGGGGAAGTTTTGGGGTATGTGGGGCCTTGGGGTTAATAGGAGCTCATATGCCGGGTAGTTTTTTATGCGGTTTAGGATTTGAGATTGGGGTTTAGGGCCGGTTATGCTTGTGGGGTTGACACGGATTGGGGTTTAAAGGGGCTGATGGTTTTTCTTGGGTTCGAGTTAAGGCGTACCCCCCCCCTCCCCTAAACCCGGAATCGCAAACCCTAAACACGTTGAGGTGAACAGTGAGACCGACTTCGTGGCCATCAATGCGATCTTCAAAGAGTTCGCGTCGGACGTTGCGATGCAAATTGCCGCCAACCCGGACGTCCCAGCCTCGGGGTTTTGAGCAATGTGTCTAGGGCTCTTCGGAGGCGAGGACCCCTAAACCCTAAACCCTAAACCCTAAACCCTAAACCCTAAACCCTAAACCCTAAACCCTAAACCCCAGACCCTGAAGCAAAGTAGCTTGCTGCTAGCCATCGTCACAGCAGCTAGGTGAACTATGTGTCCGTCGATGACGTGCCGGCTGCCGTCATGGAGAAGGCTGGATGACCCTGGCAGATTTTGTTGATAATTCCCTAAACCCTAAACCCTAAGCCATAAACCCTAAACCCTAAACCGGAGCCAGGAGAAGGCGCTGGAGATGGGGAAGGAGGACTCAGCTTTGCACTGTGTTTTGCTAGCCTTGTCTCGGTCAGCAACTAGGGACTTTGGTGGGGTTTAGGGTGTAGGGTGCGGGGTTTAGGGTTTGGAGTTTAGGGCTCTATGTAGCCTCTTAAAGGACCGTATGTTTCTCATTCCCGATTTCTCTACTACGAGCCCGTCAGCTAAGGTTTAGGAGTTAGGGTTTGGGTCTAGGGTTTAGGGTTCAGGGTGTGCAGTTTTGGGGTTTAGGGTTTCTGGCATGAAAGCAAGCTGCCAGGACCTGGCTGGCAAGCCGGACGAGATCAAGGAGAAGATCGTGACGGGACGTCTCAGGCCTCGTGACGCGGGGCTCATCATGTGTGGTTTAATATCCCGCCACGAGCGGCCAGGAAAAAGTTCGAGGAAAGCGCCCTGCTGAGCCAGCTCCCCAGTCATGGAGCCACTGGCACGTGAAGCTTAGACCCTAAACCCTAAACCCTAAACCCTAAACCCTAAACCCTAAAATCTAAACTCTAAACCCTGAACCCTAAACCTTAGACCCTAGACCCTAGACCCTAGACCCTAAACCCGAAACCCTAAACCCTAAACCCTAAACCCTACTAAGATTTAGTAAGTAGGGTTAGAAAGGTGGGTCATGGGCTTTATAGTAGGGTTTCTAGGGGATACGAAGTAGACTTACAATGTCAAAAGGCTTCCAAGTAAACCCTGCAGCTTGAAACCTAAACTCCGGAAGAACCTGCATCCTGATCCCTGAACCCTAAACCCTAAACCCTAAACCTTAAACCCTAAACCCTGAACCCGCAAAATCAAAAGATCCACAAGCCTCCAGCTTGAAGCCCTACTGCACTTATTAGCCAAGTATAGCTGTACTTCTAAACCACTTACAAGCCCCTTAAGTGCCCGAATATGGTTATCATCGGCTCAAAAGTACAGTTAGTATTGGGTTAGTAAGTACCCTGCACCACCCATGAGTTGAGTCGTCGGCAGGAGTTTGCATCTGACAGCTCCAGGGCCCGACTCACTCTCCTCAAGACCCCTAGATCAAGCCTGTGAGGGTTCGGGGTTTCGGGTTTAGGATTTAGGTCTAGGATTTTGTTTTTTTTTGGGAGTGGGGGTGGGGGGGCTGGGGTGCGGGGAGTTGGATCAAAGTTATGGATTTAGGGTTGTTTAGGGTTAGGGTTCAGGGTTTCAAGCTTTTTAGGGGTTGAGGGTCTAGAGTTGGGTCCCGATTGGAGTAGATTCCTTATAGTTCAGAGCACCAACAAAGTTCCCAAGTAGGAGTTTAGGGTCTGGGGGGATTGGGGAATCATGGCTTTCGGGGCAAACCCGAAACCCCAACCCGAAACCCGAAACCCGAAACCCGAAACCCGAAACCCGAAACCCTAAACCCTAAACCCTAAACCCTAAACCTAAACCCTAAACCCTAAACGGCGTGACCTTTCTGAGGCCAGAAGTGGCTGAAGGATGAGGATAAGACCGTGCAAGAGGCAGCCTTGCTTCGGGTTTGGGGTTTAGGGTTTAGGGTTTAGGGTTTAGGGTTTAGGGTTTAGGGTTTAGGGTTTAGGGTTTAGGGTTTAGGGTCTAGGGCCAAGGGTCTAGGGTTTAGGGTTTCGAGTTTAACTAGGTCGCCCAGTGAGACCCTTGTTCTTTGTTTTTTTGAGGCGGTCCTCTAAGTTTTTCGCCTACTTCTCATGACTCAATATCTTCTTAGGCTTCTTATTAAGCCAGCTGAATCCTTCAAACCTAAACTGTAAGGGTTTCGGGCCTGGGGCGTAGTAGGCACTAAACCCTAAACCCTAAACCGTAAACCCTAAACCCTAAACCCTAAAACCCTAAAGGGTTGTGAGCACCCTTCATCGCTGCAGTGGGGTCTCAGGGCCCTGTTTTTGGGAGCTGGTTTGGGTCATGTGGCCTTGTAGTCATGGGTTCCCTTACTACCCCCCCTCTATGCTTCCCCCCCCCCTTCATAGCTAAGGCTATTTAGGGATAATGAAGCCTAATGAAGGTTATTTAAGGGGGGAATCTGGGGTAGTATAGGAGGGGATAGTAGGGAAAACCACGATGTAGGTTCCGTCCTGAGATGGATGGAGGCTTCTTGACTTCGACAGCCCCAAAAACCCCAAACCCTGAGCCTACCTACCTACTGGCCTTTGGGGGTTTTCCGAAACTAGGGGAGCCCTTTTTGGGGGTTCCTATAGAAGGAATATACTACATTGGGGCATGTTCGGGGGACCCCTTTTATTCCCTAAACCCTAAACCCTAAACCCTAAACCCTAAACCCTAAACCCTAAACCCTAAACCCTAAACCCTAAACCCTAAACCCTAAACCCTAAACCCTAAAACCCTAAACCCTAAACCCAAAACCTTAAACCCTAAACCCTAAACCCTAAACCCTAAACCCTAAACCCTAAACCCTAAACCCTAGACCCTAGACCCTAGACCCTAGACCCTAGACCCTAGACCCTAAACCCTAGACCCTAAACCCTAAACCCTAAGCCTCAACCCTACAAGTAGAGAGCTGGCAATCTTTGTACCGTTTTGTAGGTTCGTTTGTCCTCTTTTGAGGTGTTGAAAGAGAAGATCGCCAAGCTGGGCTGGCTCCTCAGAGCCTTGCTTCCCCGGTGGGTTTAGGGTTTAGGGTTTAGGGTTTCGGGTTCAGGGTTTAGGGTGGGTTAAGGGTGTCGGGTTTAGAGTTTAGGGTTCAGGAAGTGGCAGCAGTGGGCGTCCATCCTACAAACAATCTGCAGAAGCAGTCGCCCGCTAGCAGCCATCGTGCAAAGAAGTTTTTGTTGATCGGCATGCATGATTATCTGAATTATCAGGATTTAAACCCTAAACCCTAAACCCTAAACCCTAAACCCTAAACCCTGCTATTCCACAGCCTGCGCTATGACCGAATTGATGGTTGAGAGGCCATGTGTGTCTCAGGGAGTTTCTCGTCTCTGCTCTTTTCCTGCGGTTAGGGTTCAGGGTGGCGGGTTTAGGGTTTAGGGCTTCGGGTGTAGGGTTTAGGGTTCAAGGTTTAGGGTTTAGTGGGGTTAGGGTGCAGGGTTTAGGGTTGAGTTAAAGCTTCGACTCTGCGACCTACACCCGAACCCGAGATCTCTCAGGGCCAGTACATCTGATGAAAAAGTGCTGGCTCTCTCTCTCTCTCTGTCTCGCTCGCTCACTCTCTCTCTCTCTCTCTCTCTCTCGCTCTTTCTCTTTCTCACTCTTTATCTCTCTCTCACGATGCCCAGACCACCTGGGAGGATCCAAAAAGCATACGTAGAACCCCCCTAAATAGTATCGTAGTTAGACTACGATTGCGTCATTCTTAGTGTATGAACCCCCCTTAAGGGAATAGTACGCCGTGTATACTACTGTTGGGTCATTCTTCGGATCCCCCCCTTGAGGGACCTCCTTTGTGTTTCCTCCCAAGGGGTTTGGGTGCTGCCGCGGTCTGACGCGGGTCTGGTCCGAGGCGAGAATCTCGTGATTCGGCGATTTGCTCGCCTGCAGCTTGGAGAAGGCTGCGAGTGTACAAACCTTCGAGTTTAGGGTTTAGGGTTTCGGGTTTAGGGTTTAGGATTTAGGCTTTTAGGATTTAGGCTTTAGGCTTTAGGCTTCAGGGTTTATAGGGTTTATAGGGTTTAAAGGGTTTAGGGTTCACAGGGCTTCGGGTTTTAAACAACCCCCAGCCCGTGAGCCCCACCCCAGCACCTTCAATGCCTTGCCAGGGCTTGAGAAGAAGGATGACGACTTTGCCGCTGGCGTGGAGAAGGAGCTCGCAAAGTATCGGCCTGGGCCAGAGAGGCTTAAGGGGTTTTTTGGGTTTTGGGTTTTGGGCTCAGGGGTTTACGGCATTGGGGGCCTTGGGTTTCTAAGTGTAGGGGCTTAGGTTCAGGGGTTTAGGGATGCAAGGTTGACATATAACTCCTATGTATACCTCATATAGTTCCTATATACATGAGTAGCCCCTATAGAACCCTAAATAACCCCTAAGGTCCCTCATAAGGGTCTCACGGAGGGGCGGTGCAATTCTACAGTTACCAGGAAGGAGCCGGGTCGTCCCATCTGCATGCCGCAAACCCTAAACCCTCAACCTTACACCCCTAAACCCTAAACCCCACCGCAAGCCCTGAACCCCAAACCCTACCGAATCCCCAAACCCTAAACAACTCTAAACCCACCTCTTCCCCCACTCTCTCAGAGAGAGAGCTTCTGAGGTAATGATGAGGCTGCAAGGACGGCTCTGCAGCCACTTGAGCCTCGACACCTCGCACACGCATGGTCGGTTTCCTAAATGGAAGTCCCCTTCGGGCACCTATTGAAACACCGGCCCTCGTATATTAGGATACCCCAAAGGGCTCATTGTTGAAAGCACCCTCCGTGCACACAGTTTGCAACGAAACCCAACCCTAGAAGTTGTCGTACGGCACGGAAGCACAGAGAATAGACACAAACTGGAGCGCTTGCTGCCAATTTTTCGGTGCCGGATGTAGTGGTCCTCAGCCACGCGCATGTCTGGCGGCCAAAAGAGTGAGGGCACGCATGCGCGCAACCTTCACCTGCAAAGGGCCACTGATTCACGGTTTAGGGTTTAGGGTTTAGGGTTTGGGTTTAGGGTTTAGGGTTTAGGGTTTAGGGTTTAGGGTTTAGGGTTTAGGGTTTAGGGTTTAGGGTTTAGGGTTTAGGGTTTAGGGTTTAGGGTTTAGGGTTTAGGGTTTAGGGTTCAGGGGCTTTCGGTTCCCTTCTCAGCGCCTTTAAACCAAAAAGGGCACTCCTAGGTGACTCTTCTTGGGTCTGGACTGAACCCTAAACCCTAAACCCTAAACCCTAAACCCTAAACCCTAAACCCTAAACCCTAAACCCTGAACCCTGAACCCTGAACCCTAAACCCTAAACCCTAAACCCTAAACCCTAAACCCTAAACCCTAAACCCTAAACCCTAAACCCTAGGCAGAGCAGGCTCAGAAGCCACTGTGTAGACGGCTGAACAGCCGCCATGGAGATCCAGGCGCATCTGGTGTGGGGGTACTGGCCCTCAGCCCCCACCCTCCCTCAGAGTTTAGGGTTTAGGGTGTAGGGTTTAGGGTTTAGGGTTTAGGGTTTAACAAAGAACCCTAAACCCTAAACCCTAGACCCCCAACCCTAAACCCTAAACCCTAAACCCTAAACCCTGAACCCTGAACCCTGAACCCTGAACCCTGAACCCTGAACCCTGAACCCTGAACCCTGAACCCTGAACCCTGAACCCTAAACCCCAAGCCCGCAGCTCCAAACACGAACGCCCCGAAGACCTCCCGTGTGCAGATAGCGGCTGGTGGCGATGGCCGCTTGACGAAGGCATCCGCTTCTTGGAAGGGTTTGGAACTGAGGCTTATAGGGTTTAGGGTTTAGGGGTTTAGGGTATAGGGTTTAGGGTCTGGGGTCTGGGATTTGAGGGTTTAGGGTTGGGGGGAGGGGGGGGGGGGTTAAAGTGTAGGGATCGAAGGTTTAGGGTCACAGGGGGGTTTTGCCGTTCTTGCTTCTTACCGGGTGAGGAGGCCTAGAAATTCTGAAGATTGTTTGCGGAGGTAGTCTATTTTGCCTGGTTGGTTTCTGGCGTGACATAGCATTTCTGAAATATGCATGCTTCGGTGATGTCACACTACTGTTTCGATGTCAGGATGTTGGGCTGTCATTGCTGAGTTTTTTTGGGGCAGGTATGTTCCAGAAACGGAAAACACCCTTGAGCAGTCAGAGAAGCATACCGCTGTTTTGGGCATGTTCGCTGAAGGCATAAACGCGTGTGACCACGCCAGACACGGCAAACATCCTTGTGCAGTATGTGGTGCTGTAAATGGGCTTTCACTGGTGGTTTGGTTTGGGGCAGTTGTTGAGTCTTCTTCCAGAAACGTCAAGCATCCTTGAGTAGTTTGTAGGGCAGTAAATGCCAATGTTTTTGGGCGACCCCCTCACCGAGCCTCGTCTGTAGCTGCCAGGATCAAAGCAGGGACGCGTGACACCAATCGAATTTCGGTTTAAGGTGCCCGGAACAGAGCGAAAATGGCTCTGTGCCAGCGCTGCATCTGCCGTTATTGCCATCGCAATGTTGGTGTGTTTTTTCTTCGCGGCCTGGGCGTCGCACTGAGGCGCCACGAGCGGACATGCGAGGCCGCGAGGCACTTTGTTAATCACGAAGCAGCAGATCGCGCAGAGGATAAGGCCGATGCGACATTGATGGAACCCAATGTGGCGCCACCTCGCGCGGATGTCGTGAAGCAGCCGGATCGGCCAGACAACCTGGACACATGTGGACCGCCCTCCCAGCCCTCGCGGCCTGCCCATAAAGTCTATCTGTATATGTATGATATTTTCGGCGGGCGGAGTATTGGCCGCATCTTCCTCGGCAAGAAATTCCAGGCCGTATGGCACACAAGCATCGTGGTAGAATGGCCAAACAATTGCTGTGAACTCTGGTATGACAACAAAATCTTTGTCTCACCTCCAGGACAAACTCCATTTCGTACCCCGCATGAGAAGCGACTGTTGGGGACCACCCCCATGCCTCACGTTACCATGATTGCGTACCTGGAAAGTGTCGACGACGAGTGGACCGGCCACTATGACCTGGCACAGCGCAACTGTGTGCATTTCAGCGACTGGGTGGCGCGGAGGCTGCACCTGCCAGCGTTGCCAGATGACCTCGTAGGGCAAGCTGCAGAAGTACTGCAGACCCCCGTGGCACGCCTCGTCCTTGGTACCCTGCACATGGTAGAGCGGCTGCGAGGTGACGCAGCACGGCTGTGATGGCAAACCTTTCTGGCCAAGACATGCTCTCTGGCTATGTTCAAGCGAGAGCAAAAGCTCAGTGACAAAGAGGAAATGTGGCACCTTGGCCTGCCCGGACCAAAGAAGTCTCGCGATTCCCAGAAGGGAAGCTACAGCAACCGACATGTTGCCAACAGCCCCAGGAGCCACAGTTTCACCCCTGAAGATGAACTGCGTCGTCAACTGCCACCTAAATAGGAGGAGCAGCACTCACGAAAACGGCGCCACATGATGTTGGTGGGAGGGGGGTTTTCCCCTTAAATCCTTAACCCCTAAACCCGAAACCCTTAACTAACCTTTACCCTTACACCCATTTCGAAGTCTTCTGTTGTTTCGGGGTGCAGAAGAGCCCCTAAACCGTAAACCCTAAGCCCTTTAAACACGGAAGCCCTAATACCTTCACTCCGAAACCCCCACACCCCCACACCTTCACTGCATGATACCGCAGCACCCAAGACCTCCATGCCCCAGTATCACGACTACTGTCTGCTTGAGTCCCCTCCCTCCCCTCCCTCCCCTCCCTCCCCTCCCTCCCCTCCCCTCCCCTCCCTCCCCTCCCTCCCTCCCTCCCCTCCCTCCCCTCCCTCCCCCTCCCCTCCCTCCCCTCCCTCCCCTCCCTCCCCTCCCCCCCCTCCGCCCCTCCTCTCCCCCTACAAACCCGAAACCCCAAACCCCTAAACCCTAAACCCGAAACGCCAAACCCTAAACCCCAAACCCCCAATCCCCTCTACCCCTAAACCCTAAACCACAAACCCCAAACCCCAAACCCTATAAACCCCAAACCCCAAACCCCTCAATCCCCTGAACCCTAAACTCTTCTAGGGTTTTCCCCAGTTCAACTGAGGAGAAGAGAAGGTAACCTTTAACCTTTTTGGCGTAATACATTTCCCTTATAATATAATGCCAAAGGTTAACCCTAAACCCTAAACCCTAAACGCTAAATGGGCAACTAAGTCAAATAGAGGGCGTGTGGCGTTGCAGGAGCAGCGGGCCGAGATTACAAAAGGGCCGGGTGCCAAGCACACCACAGTTTAGGGTTTAGGGTTTCGGGTTTAGGGTTTGGGGTTTAGGGTTTAGGATTATTAACATGTTGGGCCTCTTTTTGTCACCCTAAAACTAGAAGGAATATACCACAGCAGGCACCCTGAGGCCCAACAATTTGGAACAACCCCATGTGGCGGAGCCGGACAAACTTCAAACCCTAAACCCCAATTACACCCAAAACCCAAAGCCCAAACCCCAAAACCCAAAACACCCAAAACTCAAAACTCAAATCCAGCTGGTCCGTTCTCTGCGTTATGGGTCCACGCCTAGGTCCCCCTGTTAGCAATTCGCGCCCTTCCTTTTTGGGCGCGCAAGATAGGGGCCCGCAACTAAACCCTAAACTCCAAACCCCCGAACCCCAAGCCCTGAACCCTAAGCCCCCATGCCCTAAGCCCCAACCCTAAACCCTAAACTCTAAACCCCCGAACCCGCTGCTTCTGAGGTTCGAGTTCATGGGGCTGATGGCCGAGGGCGGCAGGGCACGAAAGCGCAAAGGCCCGCGGCTGGCGGGGTTCTAGGGTCTATAGGGTTCAGGGTTTTTTCCAGGGTGTGTTGGGTTTAGGGTTTAGGGTTTAGGGTTTAGGGTTTAGGGTTTAGGGTTTAGGGTTTAGGGTTTAGGGTTTAGGGTTTAGGGTTTAGGGTTTAGGGTTTAGGGTTTAGGGTTTAGGGTTTAGGGTTTAGGGTTTAGGGTTTAGGGTTTAGGGTTTAGGGTTTAGGGTTTAGGGTTTAGGGTTTAGGGTTTAGGGTTTAGGGTTTAGGGTTTAGGGTTTAGGGTTTAGGGTTTAGGGTTTAGGGTTTAGGGTTTAGGCTTGAAGGTTTAAGGTTTAAGGGTATGGGGTTCTCAAGGATTGCAAGGAGTCTAGGAAGTCTTTGGCTTGGGGTTTAGGGTTCTGGGGTTTTGCGGGTTCTAGTTGTACTGGTGCTAGGGCTATTTTAGGCATTTTAGGTGTCTAGGGTTCTAGGGGCTGGGGGTTTGGGGATTGAGGTTGGGGACGTCCCTTCCACTTAAAACACCCAAACCATGGGCCCTACCCTAAGCCCTTCCACCCTTCGAAAAGGCACCACCCCCAACCTCCCCTTCCCTAAACCCTATACCCCAAACTCGCACTAAACCCTAAACCCTAAGCCCTAATACCCTATAAGCCTTCTCAAGCTCGGACCGGTGTAGGGCTTAGGGTATCGGGGTTAGTAAAGGGGTTTCGGGTTTCGGGTTTGGGGGTTGGGGCTTAGGGTTTGGGGTTTAGGGTTTGGGGTTTAGGGGCTTGAGGATTTCTATGGGGGCGCAACTTTCAGGATCAGACTCTCATGGAGACGCCAGAAGGCCCCTAAACTGGAGACCTTAACCCCGCCCAAAAACCCAAAATCAGAACTTC